TTATAATCCAATTCTTCTCTTATTAAAAGATAATTTTATGGTTATATAGTATTTGTGGCTTTTATATGAAGAGCTACAAATTCTTCTTGGGAGAGGATATAGATAAACGTAGTAAGGTTCTTGAAGGAGCAAGTCCAGCACGCGGTCCGCGGTCAGGAAAGGTCTAAACCCAGTCCCTGATGGAGCTGTGCTGCCTCTCTGACCTCCTCTTGCTGCTCTATGTGCTTGCCGCGCTGTCAAACCCTCGAGAACACCCGCACCACAGGGCCTTTGTTGGTGCTGCTCGCTCTGCCTGGAAACCTTCTCCCAGATAGCTGCATGCTTTTCGCCCTCCCCTTCTCCCAGTTTTGGCTCAAACATTATCTTTTCAGTGAGGCCTTATCTGACCAGCTCCCCTCTCATGCCTGGGATCGCTTATCCTGCCTTATTTTTTCCCATAGTACCTATTATCTTCTAAAATAGTGTGACTGCTTATTTTCAATTTTTCAGCTATTTGAATGTAACCTCCACAAGGCAGGGATTTCGTTTTTGCCTTTTTTGCTTCTGGGTGTACCCCCACCACGTAGGGCAGTGTCTGGCATCTAAATGCTAACCAGAACTTCTTGAATGACTGAGACAAAGTCTGCAGGAAATCAGAATGTTTATATTTAATAGCTTAAAAAACTTTCTTAAAAATCTAGATGCCAGTCAAGATTTTTTCCTCCACCAGATTTATATATCACAGTTTAATTCAGCTTATTCTTTCTTTTTAAAAACATTCAGTAAACACCTACTATGTGCCAGGCACTGTGCTAACTGCTGAGAACAAAGATGAAACAGATTTTGTCCTTTCAAGGAACTCAAAGCAGAGTAAAATAAAGGAAACAGTTAAAATTTTCTTGAAAACCAGAAAACCAAGATGTATTATAAGGTCTGATACACAGAAAATACTACAATTTAGCTCCCTTGCCCTCTGGTTTTCCTACTACTGGTCGCAGTAAAGCAAGCATTAGACACTGGAGGTGCAGTCCAGCAGGGAGTAAGAAGGACATGAGCAGGACTCTCAGTTGCAGACAAAAGAGGAAATTATAAAACTCTTATGTGGGAGACCATTATGTAGCAAGGTTAGTCTGATGTGAAGGCTGATAAACAACCCAGATGACCTCAGGATATTTTACGAGAACTATTATGTAAACTTTAAGAGCATCCAAAATCAGTGATAATCCTGACATTCCAACAACTATAAATTTTAATGAAAACAAGAAATGAGTGGCAATTATTAACAATAAGTCTTAATTAAAACATTTACTAGACCAATACTTACCACTTGCCTCTTCTATGGCAAATGCACTTTGTATGTCACACCTATAAACTCCCCGCCACTTTCCCATGCTTCTCCCACTTTGGGAACAGCAGCTGGGGTCCATTAATGGACTAGCTTCACAAGAGCGGAGTTAGGCTCCCTGGAATCTGTTAGGACGGATGTGGCAAGGTTACAGAGGTGCACTTTTTCCTTCTTTCCAATGGTTGAAGGAAGTCCTCCGAAATCTACCTCATATCTTTCTCCCTTGCTGACCCCAGAGTAAAAAATTAGGTGTTTGTTTATGGTTTACTGGGTAAATTATTCCAAAAATTTCCTTTAATATATTCTAAAAATAAATAACACTGTTAAATTTTTTAACTGTACAAGATTCTTTGGAAATACCACTTATTGACATTTGTCACATGATCCTAGCAAAATAATGTCCAAAGTAAATTAGTACTTTTAAAAGTTACAAATTACTCATGTAATTCCTTCAAAGTAATAATATAATTGCATTTCTTGAGCATCTATCCACTAAGCTTTAAGAATTATTCAAGGTACTTTATACAGATATTTCATTTAACTGAAGACATTGAGCCCAAATAGTTAATTGGGCCAATGTCACACAACTACCTAGTGGTGAAGCTGACATTTACATCGAAAGCTGACCGAAGCCAAAGCTCTTTCCACCACGCCGTGTTTAAACACCAGTGTCCCCTCAATCTTCTACAGGTGCTCTAGGGATCCTATGAAATTTTGACTGCCAAAGGCTTTCCTAAAAATTTTAAGAACAATATACTTAGACACACGCAGAAGTGTAAAACATTGGAGAGCACGAACGCACTAACTTACGCTGCCAAGTTCTCTCATTTCTGTGTGGAGCTTCTCCTGCTCTGTACTTGTCTCTGATTTTCTTTAGGCCAGAACAAATTCACTCACATAAACTAGTATACCACTAGTGCCCATGTTTAGCACATGTATTATAAAACTAAGTGTGGGTAAGATGCACCCGCTCAGCAATGCTCTGGTCCTAAGAATTATACAGTGATAAGTGAGGGCATTGTGCTGCTGTCACACTGTCTTCATTGAGGCCTATTTTGAGTACTTTATTTTGGGCTGGGGTCATATCTATGAGTTAATGTAAATACAATTCTTATCTGTTTATTGGTATTCCACACATTTTCACTAGGGGAAAAAATTTGTTGCTTAAACCATATCAATGTTGCCTATCTTATTTGGGAATAAAAAAGGTTCTTGGAAATTAAGCTTCGATCACCAATTAAAATATCTACTTTTGAAGAATGCAAAAGAAGTTCTTTTGCATGCAAGTATGTGAAAATCTTTTACAAACTTATGATGGTCTACTGGGCATAGCTAGAATTCGTACCAGGGAATCAACTAGCTGCTGAAGCGTTAAAGCATTCATCCAAAAAATAGGGCAAAGTGGTTTAGTAACAAGTCCTAAAGAGAGAAGGAAAAATTTAGTGGGTCTGGGGGTGAGGATGTGGGATTACAGAAAGAATGTGGAAGAAAAAAACAATCAAGAAATGCCATCCTCAAATATAATCAAGGATTCTAAGCTTTTTTTGTTGTTAGTCTCATGCAATTGATTCTGACTTCTAGCGCCCCTGTGGACAGCAGACGGAACTCTGCCTGGATTTTTTGGGCCATCCTCTCACCTTCTGGCACTCTATCAGACAACGCTCCATTGCTACTCACAGGGTGTTCACGGCCAGTCTTTTTGGAAGTGGGTGGCCAGGTCCTTCTTCCTAGTCTGTCTTAGTCTGGAAGGTATGCTGAAACCTGTCCACCATGGGTGACCCTGCTAGCATTTGAAATACCGGCATAGCTTTCAGCATCACAGCATCCACCACAGTATGACAACTGACAGAAGGGTGGTGTGGGTCCCTGACTGGAACACGGACCTGGGCTGCAGCAGTCAGAGCGCTGAATCTTTTTTTTTTTTTTTGAGGAAGATTAGCCCTGAGCTAACTACTGCCAATCCTCCTCTTTTTGCTGAGGAAGACTGGCCCAGAGCTAACATCCATGCCCATCTTCCTCTACTTGGAATGCTGACCCAGCTAATAATCTGTAAATCTCAGTTTTCTCACCTATAAAATGAAGATAGAGTTTCTTTACCCAGCCTGTTTAAAGGATCAAATGAGATATCCCATCGAAATGGACTTGTATCAAAACAGACCCGTAAGGAAAATTGAGCGTGAGGAAGGGGAGAGAATGTAATTCTCCTCTTTTTTCTACCACCTCTCCCAGACCTATGAGCTCCAAGGACAGACACTACAACTTACATTATTCAGGACAGAATCTACTAAAATTGCTCATTCTTCCAACTTTTTCCCCTTCTTTTTCTTCAGCCTTTTAAAATGAAAATCTGGTTAATTTCTGTGACCTATACATTTATTAGAATTTAAGCAGTGACAAGTTGGGACAGCCTGGCTCAAAAATCTTAATTTAATAAACTTTAGAAAACCTGTAATAAAATTTCAAGTTACTGTAGTAAGATACAATTATTTACGTCACCTTATTATAGAATCTTAAACTTTTGACTCCTCTGTTTTTACTGTGTAATCCAGTCATTTTGTAGGCACGGAACAGCAGTATGACACTGTGTTACTTACTAAGAGAAAGAGCACTCTGCTGTCTACATAGCACTTAACCCCAGAGAACCCTTTCACAATCAAAGTCAAGAAATCTATTTACTTAGTTACAGAATAAAATAGGAACATAAGTATTTCCTTCTATAGCCAATCCTCTTTGAACAGCAGCTCTCATGCATATGTTAGCCCTGTTGAACATGCACACTCAGATACAGAGACCACACACATACAGTGTAACACATGGAACATCACAGAAAAGACTGCTTATCAGCCAGCTTTCATCTTTGCAACCAAAGGTTTTCATTAGCAAGATCCAGCTAATGGATAGTTAATAACTGTTAATGGAGTTTGCTGTATTCTGCTTATAATGGCAAAGTGAAGGACAACCTACAAGGCCATTATGTCCTATAGGAAATACAAGGTCCAAGTTTGGAGAGAATTTGACCCTCTGGCTGTTTTCTTCTTACAACAACAGACTCAGTGAGTATTGACACTGGGAGGCATGATTGTTTCACATTAGCCAGAAAGACTAACTGGCAATAAACCTTTAAGCAAAAGAATAAAGTAGCCTAATGGATTAGGAGCATCTACTTTACTTTTGTATCAATACTGTCCTATATAGTTCTACACATGCTCTCACTTGGCTTTGAAGTATTTGCATGTGGCATTCTTTTTCTAATGCAGGATAAACAAGAACAGTAATAGCTATCATTCTGTGAACACGCATAGGGTATGTACTAAAAGCAGGAAAAAACAGACTTCTTGTTGTATTAATTTAGTGAAACATAGGTTTACTATAAGTCCGCTACCAAAGTTCCCATGAAAGTGCCTCCTATGTAGTTACAGACGCGTTAGTAGATTGGGGTTGAATCTTGAACAAATCTAGATTGGAGAATGATCTAGCCTCTTCCATTTCAATGGACTATTATCTTTATATGTATTCCCAAGCCTACGTTTGCAGCTAAGAAAGAGCACAAGTTTAATTTAGAAACCACAAATGTTTATGTAAATGAAATCTTGTGCTACAAAGCTACTACCTTGAAACTCACTGTTGTCATTATTTTTTACCCACTTATTATCATAAAACACTAGTTCTCAGAAGCTGCATACACATAGCTTTATGTAAAATATATAAACATTTGTCCAAATTGATACACAGATTGCATAAATATGGCAATTAAGATTGCATTTACAGATGTGCATGTACAATGTTGTGCAAATTATCACAATATTACAATTTCAAAAATTATTCAAATTGGAATCCAGCTAAAGCAATTAGTGAAAAAAATACCCATGCAGAATTTAAATATCTCAGAACAAAATTTAAAATGTCTTCAGTAAAAGTTCACACATTTAAAATAGTTTTATTCATTTTATTTGTATATGTCAAAATACATTTTTATTTCCAAAATAGTGGGTTTTGCAACTAGTTTCATGCAGAAACAAGGTCTGCTCAATACTACCAATAAAATCAATATAGCACAGTAGCTGTTCAGTTTTAGATACAAAGAATAAATAACCTAAATACAAAACACTAAAATATTAGAAACATGTATTTAATCATTCTTCACAGGCATCCAAACTTCACAAATATAATCCTTAGCATGCCTAACTGTTGTGCAACCAGAAGGTGTTGCAGTCACTCAAACTGATCAATTATCTGTATATTTTATGTCCACATAAGACCATGGAAATTCTCTATATTCAGACCCACCACTCATACAGTTCAAATATAACCAAAAATAAAATTCCCACAACTATCCTTGTACCTTTAAAAATCAAGAATCCTGAGCTTGGTAGTAAGAGCATAACCTTATATCTTCATAAAACCAATCGAGAGAGGACTTAAAATCCTGCTTACCAAAACACCCTTTCCCAACCCCAAAGTAATCTAAAATAGGCAGTAGAACACAATGACCTTTTAAAATGAAGGGGTACAAATTCACATTTAATATAGTACACAATACAATCAATAATACACTCGGCTGCTGTAAGCTTTGCAATGTACAATTTGCCCAAATGGCTGGACTGTTCAGTGGTTAAGGACACGGTCATGTGCCAGAAAGGTATAATATTTTTTGCATGGTTTAATGAAAATATAAAAGCTATTTGTCCAAATAAAAGCTGTCTTCACTATGTACTTGGTTTTGCTTTTTTGTTTAAAAAAAGGCCACTGAAATGTATAAAATGGTCTGAACATGATGGTGATATCAAAGTCAATGCCTCTTCACATGGCAATAACAGTGCATTTAACGTTAACTCACGGGTTAAGTCTGCAAATGATTTCATAGCATCACTTTGGCTAGCACAACAGTTTTAGACAGCACTCAGATAAATATTAGGTATGTGAAATGTGAAGCAATTATCTTATGCAACTTTAATTATGGTTGAATACTATCAAACAAAAACTAAAAGTAAAAGTAAAAGCACTTTACAGTAGAAAACTTTTGTAAAGATAGGGCTCCACAGAATGTGTTACTTTTAAAGTCTTTATATCACATTGTTAGCAAATTTCGTTTTTAACACTATTATGGAGTAGCCTACTTTGTTGAATTGAGAAAATAGTCAAGCATGCCATGTGGTGGTCTAAAAATCAAAACAATACACTTATTTATATGTACAGCATCACTCAGTACCTGCTACAATGAATGTGAAGGTTACAGAATCTAACATCTCATTCTACAATAATAAAAAACAAACAGAAACAAGAAAGTGACCAATGAAGGCAGAAAATAGGACTTAAAAGAATCTAATCTCCATTGACTTTAAAGCATTCATATAAGAAATAAATGCATATTGCACAAACAGTGAAAGCAATGTTCCACCAAGCAATTCGGTTCCAGGTGGGAGACGACACAGCATCAGCCTGACGCACGACAATGACCTCAGAAGGGTAAGTGTTCTTTTCTGTAAAGGAGAGAGCTGTGAAAACATAGCAGAGGCTGCCACATGGAGAGTTAGAAGGAAAAATACAAACCCAAACTTAGATGGAAAGCAAAACAAATTAAATATTGAAAAACTGGAAACTGTGGCACATCAAAAAAAAGTTGAATAACTGTCTTCTGTGAAAGCTGAAAGTTTTTGTTGACACAAAAGTATTTATGTACAACTAAGGCTTACTGGTTAAATATCTGAGGCATATCTGGCCTTGAACACTTTCCTTATATGCTGGAGCTGTAAACAAGTTTTCTCAGTCATTAAAAAAAAAATCTTCTCAGCAGCTGCATTAACATGAAACAATGGTCTTGATACAAGAAAAAAAAAAACCCAGATAATTAAACAAAACAAAACTCCTAGATAAGAGGGCATTTGGCAGGATATCCGAAAATGACAGTCTCCAAGGATTCTTCCCAGGCTTCCAGTGACTGTCAATTATGGTCCGCTGGGTTACTAACGTGTGCAATTCCATTACTTGCTGCTTTTTTTTTCTATTTGGAAAGTTTGCTTATAACTCTGATCAAGGCCCCATTTTCATCCTTTAGCCTCTGGTTGTCTGCTTTTAGGTCTGGTAACATCTATGAGGGGAAAAATAGAACAAAAAATTTTACTTCAGTAGAAAGATAAAATATTATTTTTAATGTTATATTTTCACAAGACACGTGAACAAGCTTGTCAGTTATATATATTTCTAGTGGCTAAAACATATATCAGGAAGAAAGAAAAAACAAACCCCAATTTGTGAAGCTAATTAGTTTAATAAATGACAGAATGAAAGTTTATTTTCCCAAAGTTATCAATTGAAATGTAATAAATCACTTGATATTATGACTCACAAGCACACCATATTAGAACAGCCAAGAAAATGAAGCCTGTTTTTGTTAGAATAGGCTCTTCAAAGGCAGTTCCTTTAGGAGTTCCTGCCAGCACGTTAACTAAGGCCTTTTGCTTTATTTACGTCAGACCTCAAACGATAATACTTCCTATTATTCTATAAGAAAACCAGCCTATTTAGGAAAAGTTCTGAGGGAGTTAGACTTGTTCTAAATTATTAAAATTTCTTAAAGGATTCGCCTATAGTACTAAGTTTAAGTGCATAGTACAATGTCTGGTCCAAGATAAGTGCTCATAAATGGTCACAAAGCAATTATTACTAACATTAGAATAGTATAAAATAATTTATAAGCCAAAGTAGTAAGTCTGTGTTTACGAAAATATCCAAGCACAGAAAAAAGAACCAGAATTTGAAGCAAACAGAAAAAAACACCCTCACACCCTCAAAACAAAGCAAATCAATTTTCTCTTTTACAGACAAACTGAAGGAGGGGGTGGAAATGTTGTAAGTTAACTGGATTTTCCACGAGGAATGATTTAAATTACCTGTGCTGTGCCAGATTTGCTAGGAAATGGAATAGCTTATATTCTGGACGTTAAAGCATATTTTCCAAGTCCTCTTTCCTCAGCTTTCTCTGAAACTTCTATCTGCAAAACTACCTTAAACAAAATCTTTATGAAGAACTTAATTTTATGTGGAACCAATCAATTCTTTCCTGTGTTCAGAATGTATGGATACAAAATACAGTAGTCTGAAGTTTATGTATTAGGATACTTCTGTAATAGAGAACTAAGTGAATATTAACTACTATGGTTCTGACTGAAAATGACATTATTTTGAAAAACAGATTAATCTTAAGTTGTAATCTTAAGTTGTAACATATATTAACATGTAAAATACATGTTATACTGTTTATGTTCTATTATCTTTCTAATAGTTTTAAACAGCCTTATTTTTAAGCCCTAAAATATTTGTAGAGTCAGAAACATGTACAAGCTTTGCACAAGTGCATACAAGTCCTTTATTTAAATTCCTAAATCATTCCCTAAGTTTACTGTAGTTTATCAATCGCGATATACAATTAGTGACACTTTCTAACATTCTGAGAAGCCATGCATAATTAAATAGTTATATGATAAGCTCCAGACACAATGGCATTAATTTGTAAAAGTGAGCTCAAGACACGCTTACTAATACAAAAACACCTGCCTGGCTCTACCAAGAAGAAGGATGAAACTACAAATTATAGGTGCACAGACTGCAGTTGCCTACAGAACCCTGAGCGCTTGGCTACCACTCTTGTCAAGGCCCTATTCTCAGTCAGCAGTCGCTCATTTAACTCTCTCAGAGTTTGAATTTGCTTTATTTGGTGCAGGTTCTGCAGGAATCAGAACATAAAGAAATAGAAAATAAAAAATAAGAAAATGGAAGAGTACAATAAAAGTATAAAGAATCACAGATAGCAAATATAAGAAGAAAAAAATTACGACTCTTAAAAGAATATTCCATGAGATTTACAAAGGTAAACAGTGTAGTCCCAAAATTCCATTTCAAACAAAATACATAAGCAAACAAAATCCAGAAAATTTGTCTCCGAAGCCATTCAATAATAATTTTCTAACAGGAAACCAAATAATTCAATGAAACATTTAAGTCTTGAAATTCTAATTCTATGGGCACAATTTCCTATGCATTAGTTTGTTATTTCATAATGTGATAGAGGTATTTTATGCCAGACAATGTGATAAGAGGTAATGAATTAACTATGGTATTTTTTTTTCCTGCAAAGAGTGTTCCTTCAAACACTCTTTCATTCAAAATAAATAGTTATTTCCACAGGTAACGTAGAGTTTGATAAAATATAGTTCTGCCTGTCCACTACTCTAATATCCTTTATTTTCAAAGAAGAACTTTTGTAAATTGATCCCCCGTTCCAGCATTTACTCTCCAAGAAAGAATGTGAAATGTGAAGAAATAATAAACCCCAAATCTTGCCATTATTGTCTAATTTCTTCTATACCTGGAACATCAAAAGTGCCATAAAAATTGATTAACAAAAAGATTTGAGTTTTAAATACTCTCCTAACTCACCTAAAACCTGGATTTAGGAAGAAAGAGAAGCACAAGATATAGATAATTCACAAACTGCACGATCAGCTTTGAGAACCATTAAGGTAAACGTAGCATCTGTAACAGTACTGCAAAATTGGAGTTCACAAACAGCACTCTCTCTCACAAGTGGCATGGTTTACTTACTTTGAGCTCTTCTTCCATTTCAGATATTCTTCTTTCTAGAGCTCTTCGTTCCTATATCGATTTAAGGTACCAAAATTAATCACATAATTATCATATTCTTAAATTTTCTTCTAAATCGTGAAATAGTGACACTTTAGAATCGAAAATCAAATCAGGAGCAGTGTAGAAAAAGATGTGATGGCAGTGATGTGTAAAGAGCTTTCCAAAATTTGAGAGAAATAATATGAAATTATTTTTATTCCTTTCTATAGGGTCTTCCTTTAAAGCTTTGCCTTTCTGGTAAAATGATATATAACATGGTCAAACTATTTTTTTAGTTCACATAAAACTTTGGGATAGAATAAACTAATACTCAAGACTGAGGATTATATAATAAGGAAAAAGAAACTCACACAAAGATGCAATTATTCTACAGTGAGAGAAGCAGAAAAGCAAGAAGCAAACATGCCTAAACTATGTGTACTTTAAAGTTTCAAAAGGATCTGAGGGAAGTTCATCTCCTGCACATACAATGTTTACTAGCCATTATTTATCCAATCAATTTTATAGCTTGTATTTAGGTTGACACTGTGTGTAGCATTAATGCAGTGAATCTAATGAAGAAGCAACTGCAGCATTTTAAACTCCCTCATTTCAAAGAGTGACAGGCAAAGGCAACATACATTATTGCAGTGTACTGTTTTCCTCTCCCTCAAATAATAAGCATTCTAGGGTGTTACGCAAAAGCAAGCAGCAGTAATTAATGTGCTGTAAAACTTCGGTTAGGTCATACCGCCCAGAAGATACTGACTCTTGCCGGTCACCTTTCAGATACAAACCATTTAAATTTAGTTTAATCACACTGAAACTGTTTCCAAGACATTCTTTCCCAGATAATTAATTAATGTTGCTATTTAGTAAAGCAGTACATTTACTGTAAATGTTAATATTTTTAGAGCATGGAATTTAAAAAAATAGATGGAATCCTACTCATAGTCTCATAAGTACCATATTATTCCATTATCAGCATGTTTAAACATTATTACATAGACAACAATGTTATTTTCTATAAACAGACATTTCTCCTAGTTAATAATACAGCCATGACAAATTCATAAACACAACTGTACTTCTCAAAATACTATGACATACAGTGTCATATCTGATCCTCATAACTTTGTGACATATCACAAATAGCACATTTCCTCCAACTCACAGGTAACCTCCCCATCATCCTCAATTTTATTAGGTGCCTTTAAGATTTTAACTACTTAGGGGAAAAGCAAGACAAAAAAATTATACCAGATTGCCTTGTTGACAAATTAACAATTGCAAAGTTGCAGGCAATTTCTTATGATTGACAAATAAATTTATTAACATAAAAAATATGGTTAAGAGAAAATGCATGTAAAGTGCTTAGCTCAGTGCCTGCCTGGTACGTAAGAGAGTGCTGAATAAACGTTAGCAGTTATTATTAATACTATTATTACCAATGTCTTAAATTGAGAGTGGGTTAGCTAATTCATAATTTATCTGCATTTGACAGGCAGAAAAAGAAGGTAAGGTGAGAATGTCAGAATAGGAACATGTGTGTATCGTGTGTGCATAAGCCTAGATAAAAAAAGGATAGACCATCAAAATATCAGGTATCTCTACATGACAGAATTATGATTTTATTTTCATCTTTTGTAGAAATTTTTGTAATAAACATATTACTTGCACAAGAAACACTAAATATTCTTCAAAAATGTAACTGTCTCAAAAAATAAATTTTTGATTATATTCTGTTATCTATGTCTTTCATCTCAACAATTAGTATAGATAATAGACAAGTAATTTTTATTATTTCCGCACATCTTGGATATAATATTCAGTAACAGTTATATTGTGAAAGGATATAATAATCAACATTAAATTTAATAAAATAAGTGATTCTACATTTTTAGCAATTACTAGTTACATCAATAGTTTTTGAAATGGCCCAGAACAGTAATTTTTAAAACTTGCTGAAATCATAGTAAAACTAATAGTTATTACAAGGTACAATTTAGTAAATGACAGACGTTAACAGACTGTATTTACTTACATATTCTGTACTTTTTATCATTTCTCTTTTTTTGGTCAAAAAGGTAAATCGGCTATTTTTAAGATGTAATGGGAAAAAATGTTTTTATATCCAATGTTCCTGATTACTTATTCTTTGATCTAGAAATCACAGCTACTCAGGATGTAATTTCTTCTCTGGCTGAGATCTGACAAGTCTAGCCACCACTCACTTTCACTACACACTCTTTGAGCATTTTAACTTTTGATCATTTATACATTCTCAATTGCTCAGATTAAACTTGTAGAGTTATTCCTATGGCCACTGCCAGACCCCTGAGCAATAAATAATAATAATAAATGGAGAGAAACACAAGTGAATATATCATAGCCAGATAAAAAATTGTAGAAAGACATAAAATAGCAAAAGGATTTTCTCATAATCATTTTTTTTTGTTTAAAATAACCTACTTAAATATTTATACTCAAAATTAAAGTATTATTAACTTTAAAAAGAATTTCAAAATTTGATGTCCCCCAAATCTTTAAAAACTATACTTCAAGAATGGAAGTATTTCAATTTTGCAAAGCACTAAACTAAATGTATATATGATTGAAATGTTTTAAGGATATCATCACATAAAATCAGAGTGATAAATGGCATTCCAAAAATATCAGATTCACTATCACAATGTATATAGTTCACAATCAAGGCAAGATACTTTTCTTAATCTATTAAAAGAATAATATGGTAAATTAAGTTTCTTTAACAAGGTAATTTCACACCTAGAGAGACCCCAGAGCACTCTATAAAGAAGCTGGGCTAGGGCCGGCCCCGACAGCACAGTGGTCGAGTTTGGTGCGCTCCGCTTTGGCGGCCCAGGTTTGGTTCTGGGTGCGGACCTCCTCCACTCGTCTGTCACTGGTCATGCTGTGGGGGTGGCCCATAGACCAATAAAAGAGGAAGATTGGCAACAGATGGTAGCTCAGGGTGAATCTTCCTCAAAGAACCTAAGCTAGAAAACATTCATAATTAAATTAATGAATATTAATTTAAACTAATTAAAACTACCATCCATAAAAACAAAACGAAAGGAAACAAACCTACCATTGCTAACACAAAAGAATAAAGGGGAAAATGATTACTTATTCAATAAGATGGACACTTACCCTTTTCTCCATTTCCAATAGTGACCTATCAGCAAATCTTTCTTGTCTCTGAAAGAAAGCAAGAAACATTAAAAGGGATATAAATACAATAAAGATGGGGAGGGGGTGGAGGGAAGACCATGTTAACTCTCCTCTAGTGCTGTGAAAAGAAATCACACTATTCAGGTGGAGTAATACACAGGTTTGAGTAAGGAAAAGAGAAAACAAGGTTTGTAATGAAATAATAAAGAGTTAAACGAATGCTTAGAAATAGAATGGTCTCCACACCTCTCATGGTCTATTTATCACTTTTTCTCAGGTCTTCACAGAGTTTAGCTGGGGGTCAGAATGAGTGAGTACTGTGGAGCAAAACCCAAGACATCCTAGTTTTCCCTCTGATGCTCCAACTGTCTGCTTTCCTACACCACCAGGAGGAGTGGCTGCTAATCTGAATGGTCAGATTCCAGGACCTTGACTGAAATATAGTTTTGACCAGTTTGAGCGACCCTGTATGCATGCAGCCAGACCAGTAAACTTGTCTTTTTGTCCTCTCTCACAGCTATCTGAGTCCTGCTCGCTCACGCTCTCCTTTTCTTTTCCAATCATCCTCGCTTCAAAATTTGTAAGAAGGTTCATACCCACTGTCACTTAGAAGAAATTCCAACTATATAGCTTTTCTTCTCCTGGTGAGCTCAGGTCTCTTTCTTTTTCTGCTTCCTGTATTATGCGATCAATTCAAAGTTGATAAAATCCTGAGATTTCGGGCATGGAAAGGATCCTTGGAATTTTAAGCCACATGTTGCACCCAATACCAGAGAGCTCTGCATATGGATATTGAGTACAGGCCCAGTTAAAAACAAATGGTATCTTAGTTCTTATTTACAATGACCTCTGTACATAAATCTCCCTTGGGAATCCTGGTCAATTCGCTACAAATGAAGTAATCAAATAGCTCATTCCCCAAAAGCCAATTTGCTGAATAACCAATTTTACCAATTTACCAAAAATGGTTTTTGACAACTTTTAACAAGAATGCTTTTTTATGACTAACCACAAAATATACTTAAAAAGAAAAATATATATATATTTCATCATCAATTAAGCACAATTTCACTGCTTAATATGCTAATTTAAAAAGCATTTCTTTACATAATTTTCTGTCAACCCTTTCAGCATTCAGGTTTTAGTATCATCACGACTTGTTACCAAGTTACGTTTTGATCCTTTTTTCACAATTTCTTTTTTATGGTTATGGAATATTAGATTTAATTTTGGCCAGGTATCCTTTTCTCTGTTGTTTTAAATGGTTTTATGCTTTTGTGCTTACTCTTTCTGGGAAAATAAGTTGATGTATTCCAATTGCTTATTGTTAGAAATCAAATCCAGAATTTCAAATGTGATGAGATTGTTTAAGCTAATTCTGATTTCTTTTCAATGTTGTTAAATTTATTTATATTTCAATTGTTAGAAATATAAAACACAGTCTAATATGCCCCTTGAGGATATGCCAATGAATCCTAGAAACACTTAAAAAGACTGAACAATTTAAAAATGATATTCAATTCACCTGAAAGAAATGAGAAATAGCTGGGACAATGCCATCACATATAAGTTATTAAAATTTTAGATAGGAAATTAGGATTTTATTGGGGATTTTTTCATATAGGAATATTTTAGCAATTTTATGATTCACATGCCAATTTCTTAGGTACAAAAATCCAACTTTAGTTAATATTTTGGGTAAATATTCTAGTCAAAGCTGTTGAAATCACAATTACTTAAGCCTGGTGAACTGACATTTGACAAAAATGATTATTCATCACACCAATTTCTGGAAAATTAGCCTATTTCCCTCCCTTGGAGACTGTACAGGGAGGAGGTAGCTGGGCTAAGGCAGAATTCAAGGATTTTAGATTCCCTTCATTAAATACTATCAAACAGACCTAAACTTCAAGAGTAATTCTTAACAGGATAATGGTTCCCTTGGAAAAATTCCATGTGACTATCAAAACTGCCACCACTATGTATACATATTCATGAATAGCTATGGAAGTCATGCTAACAAAACAAATCAGGTGGAAGGATTCACTCTAGACTTAAAGGCTCAGATAAATACTCTAAAGTTGAATAAAAAGTTTAATATTTGTCAGTTTTACTTTTACATATATCCCTAAGTTTTTAAATAACATTTTCACAGTTCTTCCAACTAAGACATTAACTTTGAATATTTACTCAATATCTTATACTCTGAATTACCTTTCCCATTATTATTTAGTATATTGGGCATGATATTCAGAATGCCTGCTAAGGCAGAAACTGTCATACTTTTGAATCCAGTGACTTGTTTCTCTGCCAGAGTTGACAGGATCAGAAACTGGTACATGACCCAAAGGCAGCTTGCTATAGATTGTCCACTGTCCTATGAAATGGTCACTAACAGGACCATGAGCACTAACCAGACTGCTCGATACTGGTAATAACTGGCTAATTCTATCAGTTCCTCTCTCGTGGAGTTTGAATGAGATACATAGAGGAAGAATTAGATGACAAGAGTAGACAGAGGAGCTGAGAAATACAGAGAAGGCAGCAAGCAGTGGAAACACAGATACACTGAATCACCATAATGAGAGAACACTACAGTAGGGATTGGTGGACATTTTTACTTAGAAAACATTATGATAAAAATCTCTAGAGCTGAAGACATTTTCAGGAAACTAGTTATGATATTTTTATGTGTGGAGGCTCACTAAACTACTAATGCAACCTGAAGAATGATGACATTCCAGCTTACCATAAGTCTAAGTGTAAGCCAGCAAGTTTTAACTTGTGTGACATTCCAAGTCTTTATGACACCTGGCTATGAAATGTGTTTTTGTTTTGCCTTATTTCTCTGTGTATCTTTACAGTAAATCTTCATCAACTGATGGAATCTGAAGAGCCTTCATAACCTCATAAGGTTAGTGTGACCCCTGGAATTTTAGCAGTGTCCACAGTGCATAGACAATTGCTTCACAACATAATGGTGGTTAACAACAAGGACAAAAAGGCACCTGGTAACAAGTTTAGGTTCAACATAGGGACTTAATTTAAAAAATTATGAAAAAGATGAGTGTGAAAGAATGGTCAAAGAAAGTATGCAGTCTCTCTTATAGAACTGGAGATACCATTTTAGATCAGTGCTTTCAAACTGGATTCAAAGAGTTGTAATGCAGGAATGTGTTTATGCTAGAAAGTCTCATGTCAAAATTAAATAAGTTTGTTTCCTTAAAAATTACAGGACCCTTGAGAGCCTTTAACATATAAATAGACCCTGTAAAATCTCCAAGACGTAGACTAGATGTAGACAGTACTTCCCAAGTTTCTTGGATCATAAAGTTTTTCTATTTTTGGAAAGGAGTCAAGAGGAGGAGGAGGAGAAATGAGTCTATTACTATCTTCTAGAACTAGTGAGCCACGGAAAAAGAGTCTGGGAAACAATTTCTAGATCATACGCATCCTAGATTATATGTACAAGGTTGCAATCCCAATTTTCTTGTGTAAAATCCGCTCCTCTAAGCTGTTGTATAGAAGGAAGGTAAAAGGAGTTATGACTAAAATTACCTACTGCCAACATTACTATGTCAAATCATTTTTTTTGAATGAACAGGAAATATCCATAATGAATAAAAATTACTGTAAAGAAATTTTACGGCTTTAAGAAGATTTTGTATAGATGCTTTTAATGTCTTGCTACATTGGTATGCTGGAAATAAGCATTTAGATCCTTCATGTACCACAACATAGGTATTAAAAGGCTTAAAAATACTTCAACTTTCTACTATAAGGCTATATTTCTATATTTTTCATTTACTTTAGAAAAAAATAAATGAAGTTATCAGTAAACTGTATCATCCCGACTCCTTCTTGTTAATAAATAAGCTATTATCAGTAACCAAACTTATGTTTAGAACACTAGAGAATATTTCAGTGCAATTTCTTAGACGGAATAAATCACAACCATTTCTTTTACAGTAACAAAGAGAAAAAGGTACAAACCTGGGTGGCCTTTTCTAATTGCAATTTAAGATCTGTCAGTTCCATATTTGTATCATGTAGCTGTGCTTTCAGCTTTTCATTTTCAGCTAGAATTTGTTCATAAAGCTATAGAAATTAGAGGAGAAGAACAAATTACTTTTCTGCTTTCCTAGTATTTTAAGAAGATTTCCTATTAATTATTTTGCAATATTAAGAACAGAAAGATTAATGTAACATATGAGCTATTAAAGGATGCATTAAAAATATATTTCAATGCTTTATGGTTCCAAGGCAGAAATTTTTGGTTATGCAACTATGTTTGTTCCACATAAACACTTAAAAGCTAGTTCCAGTATTTAAAATTTAAGACTTCACTGAAAAATCTGACTTTCCAGTTTCCACTAAAAAAAAATTCAGTTATCTGATAAAGAGGGACCACATATCTGCACAGCAACTACAGCTGCATGTAAGGAGCCACTGCGATCTTTACTTGGGGTCTGTTTTTCTGCCTATCATTCCCTCTTGAACTCCTGAGACTGAGATGGAGTATCAGTTGCATTTATCATTATACTTGTATTATTTTTATTAAAGTTAAAAGGAAAGTGAAATATTTCTTGAACACTTTCATAACACTTTCTTTCTTTTTCCCTCATCTCTACTACCACCATCATAGATAGCTACAATCATCTCTTATCTAGACTATTCTAATATTAGAATTGTTCTCCTGACCTCTGTTTTACACATAGCAGCAAGAGTTAACTTTTCAAAATGACAATCTCATAATTTTCATAAGCCAACCATTCCGGTAATCCCCATACATTAAAGATCCCTTGAATGGTTTCCCATTGTTCTCAGTATAAGGATAGCCTTAAAACAGCCTGTAAGGGGGACATTGTATGGTCTGGTCCCAGCTACACATCTAGCTGCAATCTCACACCACCATCCCCTCTGCTCTACTAAGCATGATGAAAATTTAATTACTTCGACGCATCACATACCCTTCCACTACCAGGTTTATGTGATTGCAGTTCACTCCATCTTTTTTTCTCCCACTGTTGCCATCTAATGACTAACCATTCTTCTCTTCTTGACTGAAGCTTCACTTCCTTAGGAAATCCATCCTCAGGCCCTGTCACTTTCCTTTGTTACACACTTTTATGAAACTGTTTCTTTACTTCAGGATAATTGCTTCAACTTTTAAATTATGCATTCATTAGTAGGACGTATGATAATGCCTGTGTCTCTCACTACATGGAAGATGCTCATACGAGAGGGACAGTATCTATCTGCACTGCCCCTGAGTAGAAGTTCACTACTTAGCACAGTTCAGTGTTCAGTTCTTTACTGAATGAATGACTGAATCTTATTCATAATGTAAACTGACTCTCCTACCCTTGCTGATTTGGCTTTTAAGAAAGTGAGTTAGCTGCCAAATACCTGGGGACGTGTACAAATACCACAAGCCTTCTTTTTCTCCAACAAACTTCATCAGGTTTATTTCAATCTCATATTAAGAAGAATCACAACAGTCAGAATCCTAGACTGCTGAGCTTCCAGGATAATTCTTAAGAGCACTTGAGCTACCCCAAGTTTTTCAGCTACCTAGGAAAAACTATACTCTCCCAGAGAAGCCACATGTTTTGTGTGGCTTCTTCCTAGTAACAAATAGACAGAGAAAAGTGTGTGTGCATATGCACACAAACCTCCCCTTACCCGCCCGCCGACCTACTCAATCCCCCTCTTCAGTTTAATGACAGTATGACAGCACTGGCCTGAGATACTGCCATGTGAAATAAAGTCCTGGGTACTTTTCCCTTTCCTCTAAAAAACAAAAAAACCCCAGCTATTTATATTCTACTTATGATTAATTGTCCAAAACTGAAAATTAAAGTAAGTTATTTCAAGATACTGATTTCATTATGAGTTTCTAGGAATAATATTCAAACATAAATATCTCAACAAACAGATTACTTTTAACTAAATGTCACTCAATAACCAAGTACCTTTTTAAAGTCAGTTGAGTCATCCCTCTCTAGCCTGCTACCGTGAGGTTTCCTTTCTTCTAAGTAACCGTAGGATCCAGAGCGACCCAGCAAGGAATCATAGCGATCACCAGCTGACGTGGAAGTGGTTTCATATCTTCAAAAGATGAGTTTAAGTCAAAATCTTTATAATAGGCTTTCACAACTTACATTAGCATGTATCCTAGTATTTATTAACTTTGATATTCCAAAAACAGTAGGTAACATTCTGCCCCCTGTTATTTAATCAACTTTTATAATATATAATAAAGGGGAATTTATTTTTAATACTACTAATTTCCATTATTTGAGGAAGGGATTCAATATTTCTATATCTGAAAATCAAAAGTGGTTTTACATCATGATAAATTATTTCAACAATTTTAAATTGTACATATTTTTTCACATTTTAACATCTCTGAAATCAGAATGTGGTTTACAATTGATGGTGTATTATAGTTTAACTGGTAGTACTTTCCCTTGTTTTAAGTAGAATATAATTCTAATTTAAAATTGGTAACAGTCTATCCAGAGTGATAGATAATAGGTTTGTCCTAAAGAAAAACAATATCTCTCATTTGTAAATGAGAATTCTCATATTATCTGGTTCTGAATTTAGGTTACCTTTTCTGATAAATACCATTGCCTCTATATTTCAAGTCAGTAGAATTATCAGTACAGTTGGTCCTCCGTATATGAAGGTTCTGCACCCAGGGATGCAACCAACCATGCATTGAAATGCCTTTATGATGGTTGGGCCTGTGCTTAACACCTACAGACATTTTCTTCTTGTCATTATTCTCCAAATAATACAGTGTAACAACTATTTACATAGCATTTACATTGTATTAGGTATTATAAGAAATCTAGAGATGATTTAAAGTACAAAGGAAGATGTGTGAAGGTTATGTGCAAATACTATGCTATTTTATATGAGGGATTTAAGCATCTGTGGATTCTGGGGTGGGTGGGGGTACAGTGTGTCCTCAAACAAATCCCCCCCTCAGCTACCGAGGGACAGCTAGATATAAAAATTTGTTCTTGGGTTTACAAGGCTTTGGGTAACAATTATGGGCAAGAGAAAAGGAATGGAGATTAGATTCAAGGATATCGTGGAGGTTTTCTGAAAAGATAAGCGATTTTGAGCTGGATAGATGACACTTTTTAGTGTCTGCATTGAATTTCTTTCATCTAAAGTAGGAATAAGAGAGAAGATTCTGATAGCCAATAAAATAAATTTCTGGTGGGTTTCATTAGCCCCTGATGTTAATAACGAGACAGTCAATGTTGAAGTAACTTAGGAAGCTTAGGAAAACTTAAGAAAGTTATCACTGTTTTAAAGACTTAGGAAAAATATTCTTTCTTAGTGACTTAGTGTGACTATTGAACTAGACGTAAAGCCTTTGACAAAGAAAGCTGGTAACAGCTATTAGGTCATCTAAGTATCTATACATTTTTATTACTCAATTCTATCAACTTACAAAATCCACGAAGATCTAGCAATATATTTTTAGAAAGGATAAAAATGAGAAAAAAGTCAGTACAAAAAAGAAGTAAAACATACCTAGAAATGGAATCCGTCTAGAAAAAAAGAGAAACAAACATAGGCATGCTAAGTTCCTACTCTTTCATTAAGGTAACTTACTGATTAGTCAAGTAAATTTAACATAACACCAATACTGTTTTCACACCATTAAACTAACATCTATTCACTACTTACATTTTAACTGTAATGTGGTTGTTTGAAAGTAAGTTCTAGAACACAGAGTCACTGTCTATCATTACATGCACAACACCATACAGTTAAATTTGGCAGTCTATGGTCTTCTTTTGTGAATTCCTACAAATGCCACTATAAATTATTTTTTAATCAGAAGAAAAACTGAGAGAATAAGACACATATCCATTACTTATACCCAGTCAGCAGGAGAAAGTAACATATTTACATTAAGGAATGTAAAGTTTACTATGTGACATCTATATCAAGTTTACTATGTGACATCTCAAAGCAGCAATTTTTCTCATTTTTCTGTTTTGGAAATCCAGCTACACATTCCTTCAAAGTTTAACAATTAGGGGATAGGAAACTATGATTACTTTAATTTTCTCAAGCAAGTGGTATGCTATATTGAAGTTCCAATAACTTTTTTTTTTTTTTTTGAGGAAGACTGGCCCTGAGGTAATAGCCGTGCCCATCTTCCTCTACTTTATATGTGGGATGCCTGCCACAGCATGGCTTGACAAGCAATGAGAAGGTCCCCACCAGGGATATGAATGGGCGAACGCCGGGCTGCCGAAGAGGAGCACGAAAACTTAACTGCTGCACAACTGGGCCGGCCCCTCCAATTAACTCTTCTTATCCAAATAGTGAAATAATTAATACAATAAAATAGTCTTATTGGGGGCCAAAGCAGTACTTTTTCGATGGTCATCTTTAACTGTTCTCTTTCTATTGAAACACTCACTGAATCTATACTTTTCTATAAGGTAACTATTCAGAAATGGTTTGTTAAATTCTTGAATTTAGATATTTGTATTTTCCCATTATATTTATCTTCAAATGCACTGTAAAATTACTGGGTTCCTTTGGGACAACCTGAAGTCTAATTTGGACTAAAAATGTCGTACTAAAAACTACTTAAATTTCCTTTGCAAAACCAATTTTGTACTTGCTTCCTATTTTTTTGATGTAATAGTTTATTTATTCTTTAGTTTTATAACAACAACTTTGAAGTTAAATTTCAATTTTCAAGATATCATTCAAATTCATAAGCTGCTAAGAGAGTAGATCTTGAAAGTCCTCATCACAAGAAAAAAATTTGCAATTATGTGCAGTGATGGATGTTAACCAGACTTATTGTGGTGATCATTTTGCAATATATACAAATACTGAATCATTATTTTGTACACCTGAAATTAATATAATATTATATGTCAATTATATCTCAATAAAAAGAAAGAAAAGAAATAAACAAGATATCATTCAAATTCAGGAAAATAGCCATGCGTGAAATAAAATGTGCACATATCAAACAAGAATATCACATTTCACCTCAGTTTGCACTGTGACTTAAATTTTTAAGAATAAATAATAACTCCAACTAGTCAAACAAATCACTCAAATTCTATTTCTTTGTCTTTAAAAATCATAGCACTGTCATTGGTTATATTTTGTATTTTAAAAATTTTTGTAAAAAACACGTAACATAAAATTTACCATCTAAACCACTTTTAAGAGAATAGTTCAGTAGTGTTAATTATAGTCACATTGTTGCGCAACAGATCTCTGGAACTTTTTCATCTTGCAAAACTGAAACTCAATACCCACTGAACAACTCCCCATGTCCTTTCCATTTCTACAAGTTTGAATACTTCAGATATCTCATGTAAGTGGAATCATACAGAATGTCTATTTTGCCAGCTTAGCATAATGTTGCTTAGCATAACGTCTTTGCTTTCTGTGTTTTAAATTTGTTTTCCAAAGTAAAAATACCCTTTTAATTTTTCTGATTATGGTACCGTAAGCTCATATAAAAGTACCACAGTATAAAAAGTTCTTCTATAATTCCCCATCCCTCCAACCCCCTAGATAACCAGTGCTAACCTGCTGTACACAAATCCATGTGAACACATAAAATATCTATGTAAATACATTTTATTTTGCTGCTATCAACACCTATCTTTACACACTTTAGTCATTTTCTTGGGAATACATTTCTAGAAGTGGAATTGCTAAGCTACAAGACATAAACTTTTTTTTGTATTGCTAAACTGATCTCCAAAAAGGAAGAATTTATTATAGCCCCAAATCTTATACGAAAACGTGTATTTCAATACCAACCATGCCATTAACCTTCACAAATTTCACTTGTATATTCATTGTTGTATCTTTGTTTATTAATGAGATTAAGTGCATTTTCAAGCTTATTGTTAATTCATAATTTTTCTTTAGTAAAGTTTATAAACTTCATGTATTCTGCCTCCATTTATTTTTTACTTTTTTTTTTTTGCTGAGGAAATTCACCAAGAGCTAACATCTGTTGCCAATCTTCCTCTTTTTGTATGTGAGCTGCTATCACAGCATGGCCACTGACAGAAGAGTGGCGCAGATCTGCACCCGGGAACCGAACCTGGGCCACCAAAGCGGAGCACAACAAACTTAACCACTAGGTCACCAGGGCTGGCTCATGCCTCCATTAATTTTTTTACTGAGTCTTTTGTATAGTACAAATGTTCATCTTTTAAATGTTATAAAAGAGGGAAAAGCTTACTTTTAATTGAGCAAATAAGTGTCTCAACTTTAATAAGGATGTCTTTTCTGCCAGATTCCAGCTTTATATGTTTAAATAATCAAATCTGTTAATCTTTTATTTACGGTTTCTTGCCCTGGTGTCATATTTAAATTCTTACTAATGTTCTTTGCATGGTAAAAATTTTACCATCCAACAGCTTAATAAAAGCAAATCATAATAACTCAAACAACAGAAGCCTTATTTTTGGAAATAACGAACAATAATATCATGAGAAAAATAATTCAAATTTTCTGTGATAAAATTTTCTCTTAATTTATATCCTGAAGGCAGACAGCTTATGCTTCACATGCAATTCAGAATTCTCAAGAACTTTTGAATATCTTACAATTTACTTTTCTCTGAAGCAAAAAGTACATGCCAGAGAGCCATTTTTCAATGTGGGTAAGTTAACTTGACTCTACAAACTGAACAGAAGTTTTGTTATCAAACACTTCTGATAGGATAACACTTTTGAGGTGATAACACTATTTCAGAAAACACACAGAAGAATTTTGCTGCTCATTACTTTTTCACAAAAAAGGACTAATGCTACAAATTTTCAAAAGAAAGCAGCACACTTATCGGGTGAAAGTACTTTTCTAGTCTATTGTAGAAGACACTGTGGGTTAGTGTCTTGATGTCCATTCTTCTTTTTCCTCATGGTGTAGCAGTCATTAGTTTTAGGTGAGAAGGTATGTAGCCCACAATAGTAGCAAAATGACGCAATATCTCAGTGGTGGCCCTTGCCTGGCCTGAGTCAATTATTATAATCCTAGCCCTTGAGGTAAACCAGTGTGAGGATAAAGCTGAGATAGAGAGTTGCATAATGCTAGCACAAAACAGGATCTAAACAATCATCAATTTAAAATGAACAAGAACTAGTGAAATTGTTTGGAACTAAGAAAATTCTTCTTCTTACAAAAATGTTCTACTCAACCTTAATGTATCGCACGTGAAATTTTCATGGTAAAACTTAAACACTATATATATATATATATATATATATATATATATATATATATATATATGCTTCAAAGTCCTAACTTTGGAAGCCAGAAAATCTTTTCCCTCCTATCCTAGCCTGGTGGGATGTGGGGTCTGTGTGATAAGGCAGTGAGAAGTGTCAGCTGGGGATGGTTTATTGAGTCCCTCCCTCCTGTTTACCTGTCCATTGTTTTTCCTTGAAAGATGGGAATTCATAAGGTATCACTGGGGAAGGAAGATAATGGACAAGTTTAGAGAATACAGTAAACAAGGGACAGGTGAACTGGAAGAGTGCTGACAACTGATAGGCAAAGTGTCTAAAGGTGACAAAACTTAAGCCCTGCAAATAATTTACCCTTGGAAGTAATTAATTCCTCAATCTCTCTGTCTGGCCAAGTAAAGATAAAACAGAAATACCTTTTGGGTCAAAATAGGCAAACTTGGCCCTAAAAGTAATGTTCACATTCACCTAGCACAGGTAATCAACTTCTGATCACTTTATACTATTGTAGATCCTTGATGAGTAAAAGGAATTTTAACTGCTCTACTTAAGAACTCCAGGTCAAAATGAAGAAGATACAACCAGAATGCCATTTCAGACCAGATAGTGCTGAGTTTATAAGATTAGATCTAACCCATATTGTACAGCTCTCCCCCATGTGAACAGAGCTCTTTAAAGTATGTCAGCTTTCTGCATGGCCAAACAATAGGGAATAGGGGTAGGGGGGTGGGGAAACTAGTGGAAAGAAACTTTTACCATTTGCTAGCTATGCAACCCTATGTCATTCAAACTTGCCTTAGTTTCTTTATCAGTACTGAGAAAAAAAAGTCTTTTTCAGAAGATTGTTGGGAAGATGAGTTGTGATAATGAATGTAAAAGTCCTTTCGAGACACTAAATTTCTAAACAAATGTAAATAAAGTTAAAAAAAGGCACATTGCCTTCTCTACAACATCACTTTACCATTTCTAAAACTAAAATCTGGGTACGTTGAAGTATCCACTACTTCTGAATATCATTTGGATACTTTCTTTGGTCAAGGGTACCATTCTCTTTTTTGTTCAACTTTGAAGATTAATTTACATACAATAAACTATACCCACTTAAAGACTATACTGTTTGATGATTTTTGACAGTTGTGTATATCCATAAGCCACCACTACAATCAAGATCCAGAACATTTCCATTACCTAGAAAATATTCTTTGTGCCCCTTTCCAGTCCCTCCACCCCTGATCCCAGAGAACCACTGACAGTCTATCCCCAGAATGGAGGTACAGTGTGCAGTAACTGTCTTGCATGAATGAAGATAAAACACAAGTAAAGAGTGATCCTTAAAAAATATGAATAATTACGAATACAAAAAATAGTGCTTTTTACCTGAGTTTCTTTCTTATTGGATCCTTCTTCTGTATCTGATTGTTGATCTTGTTCATTTTCATCACTCTAAAATAGATTGTCAATTTACTTTTAGAAAAGTAAACATAAATTTCAAACAGCTGATATTTAAATACTTCAGGGCCTTTCTAACTTAAAATGACCCTTGAGAAAAATCTACCAGGCAATGAATCAAAAGGAAAACTGATTTTTAAGTGGGAATTTTTCTACCCTATTTAGAGGAAGACTATTTTCTCTGCATGGCACAATCTAAGTAGGTTAGCATATATGGTGAAGAAAGACCATCTTCCTAACCACCTCATATTGAGGATAACAAAGCTGAAGGCTTAGCATGAGAGGAGAAGATATTCCATTTTACATTGTAATGATACTGCTTGTACTTTAATATTCAATATAATAGCCACTCAACTCTAATGAGGCTGCAAAAATAGAAAATTCATTGTCTTAGGTAAGAAAAGCTGGATTCTATAAGCTTGGCAAGATTTATGCAGTGGTCCCATTACGTTTAGGTAATTCACTCATCTAGAAATTTCTTGGGAGTTTACAGCACACCAAATAGACAATCTAGGTCTCAGCAGGCTACAAGCCTGGAATCCCAGACAATGGGAATATTCTACTGGACGGCCTTGAACATTTCAACAAACCTTAAAGGACTGAAAGAACACGGAAATCTGTGTTCAGACATATGTAGCTCAGGCTTTCTATAAAAATACCATAGGCTTTAAAACTACATCATCCTAATTTCGTATTGCTGTAGCTATTTTCAGCTATGTGACTTGGGGTAAACTTATTTAAAACTTTTTTGAGTCAATTATCTCATCCATAAAGTGGGGATAAAAACTTTACAGAAATGTTCTAAGGATCAGAGACTCTTTGCACAAACTATCATTGTGGTATCTAGCAAAAATGATATGGGAAGTCATTAAGTGAACAGGAGAAATCAATGCTGCTGCTGCTAGTATTAGTTATTAACATAAATATATTAATTCTGCATCATAAGCTCATTGTCTTTATGCATTACAGTTTCATGGGAGAAGACAGAACTGGAAATTAAAAAACTGAGGAGGCTCAGAGGTCGTCAAAAGTAGTAACTAAAAAAAAAAAAAGTAACCTAATAAAACAACAGAGCAAACAGTTGCCTAACTACACACCACTGCCCCTTTGATAGAGCCCTTGGTTTTTTTCATATGTTGTCTGATATCAGGTTCAAAGTGTGGCTAGGACGAGAACGGAGACCTGTACTTTGATGGCTGATTAGAACACAATTCAAAGCAGGCTCAAATTAAAGAGATGAGTATTGCCAATATGTATCTCAGAAAGGATCCTGATAAGGCTGGTTAAGTGTATAACTTCAGAAAGTGGAGTTTTGAAGGGAGAGCTGGTCTAAATAAAACTGGGCAAAAAGAAATACTATACAATAAAAACAGCTTTGTCTATGAAACTCCTAATACATATGAGTTACTAAGAAGATGAAATAATTTTAAGTATAGAAGAGTTCCTCTGTTAGGGTGCTAAGACTGAGGTTTTATTTTACTGTTATTAAAATATTACTGGGCAATCAATTAAAATCAACCAGACATCACACACTTCCTGATGGAGGAACAAAAATACCTTGTCATAAGACTATCAAAGCAGAATCTGATAGGTTTTCTACCTGGAACGACCAATTTATAGGAAACATAAAAAACTACACAAATGTATTAAACTACACTTCAGGGTTATGATAAACTCAGGCCATTTGAAAGTAATTGTAAGGAAGAAAAAATGAGATGGAGGGAGAAACTTCCTGATTAAAAGAGACCTTAAAGAATTAACTAATCACAATATATGGTCCTAATTTGAATCTTAATCAAACCAGCAAAGTGTCTAACTACAACAACAAAACATTTATAGCAAATAAGAGTCAACTGGACATTCAAACTGACTAGATATTCAAATTAAGGATTTACTGTTAATTTATTTAACAATAAATGTGATCATGGTATTGTGATCCTTTATCATGTGAAAACATATTGTAGTTACTTTTATCATTTTTAAAAAATATAATCTTAATTTTTAAAAAGTCTTTATCTCTTAAAATGCATACTGAAATTTTTAGAGATGAAATAGTATGTCTAAGATTTTCTTCAAAATAATATGGGAGTTTGGGAGGTGGTGGGGATTTAGCTGAAAAAATGGATACGTATGGTGGGCTCATTATACTTTTCTGTTACTTTTGTATATTTGAACATTCTATATTAAAAATTAAAATAAAAAATGGGAAAAAACAAGCAGCTAAAAAAAGACAAAACAAATTATGTTTGCCTTTCTGTAGTTATATGTTATAGTGAAACACTACAAATTTCACAATAACAGTGCTACCCCACAGCTCTTCTTTCTCCTGCATATGAGTACCAATGTGAGGCATATACTCAGTGATCAGGAAAGAAAATTAAATTTTATAGGATTAATTATTATAATTTGATAAGTAAAGCACTGCTTCTATCCAGCATCACTCAGAAATAATTATTATGCATATCTTATAATCATACTGATGAAAATGGGATTAAATGTGTAGCATCTTTCTTTCAAGAATCTCTAAGATAAAGGAGCAATTTAGCCATTATACAATAAGTGCTATATGCACGCCGAGCTGCAGTCATTATTATTTTTATTCCAAAACTGGGACAGAACTCCTACTTTTAAGTAATACCAAAAATCTAAGTAGTCATTAACTATGCTGATGAAGAAGAACTTTTCTGATTTAATAACTCAGCTCAAAACACACAGGGATGATCTAAATATATAATCTGAGGCATATAAGAAATTATTAGTGTGGACTTTTAGAAAGATTAAGCATACTATCAAGTAGCTATATTTTAATAGGTTCTCACATCTTGTGTCCAAAACGAAACTCCTGTAGATCTTCTTTTCTCTCTTGGTCGCCGTCGCTCTCGGATTGATTTAGGCTGTGATTTATCCTCTCCTTCTTTTTCCTCTTCTTTCTTTTCTCCCTCTGTTAAGGATTACAATGAACCATATGATGGCAATGTATCTTGACAGTATTTGGCAATGTAAATGTAAAAACAATTCTAAGTCAATCTCCTTTATGGACTCTTCTAAAATTCTCCAGTCACAATTAATTTTTGCTCCTCTCAGTGCTCGTATAACACTTGGTTTAAATATGCATCTATATCTCCCATTAGATATGTACTTGAGGATCAAGACAAAAACAAATTTTAATTACTTCATTCTCCTATTGCCTAAACCAAAAATTTCACTCAAAAGATAGTATCTGCTGCACAGAAAATAACTGAATCCTATGAAAAGAATGGGGCTCTGATACGGAGACAGTTACCATACCCAAAGTTGAGGCTCAAAGAAAAAAACCAAACAGGTTGTTTTTGTGTGTGTGTGAGGAAGACCAGCCCTGAGATAACATCTGCTGCCAATCTTCCTCTCTTTGCTTGAGGAAGATTGTTGCTGAGCTAATATCTGTGCCAAGCTTCCTCTATTTCGCACGTGGGATGCCGCCACAGCATGGCTTGCTAAGCGGTGTGAAGGTCCACACCTGGGATCCAAACCTGTGAAGCCCGGGCCAACGAAGCAGAGGGCACGAACGTAACCACTACGCCACCAGGCTGGCTCCAAAACCAAACAGTTTATAATGATGGAACAGCTAGCTAGTAGGCATCATACAAATTATCTGCTTCTACTATTCCCAGTCCTCATTTAGCAGTAGAATAAATATAGTATTCATTTCATTCCCACTAGATATTATCTAAGAGCAAGGCTTTTTTTTTCTGGAAAAAATATTTATCTTATACTAAAAACAAACCAACATGGAGACAGTGATGTTAGCATCATGGTGGAGTGATGCCTTAGCCTCTCCCCATAAGATACAGTGAAAAGGACATTCAAAACCAACAGAGGAGATTCACACAACAAAGTAGAGGTCTGAGAGATCCATGCAGCCTTACGTCTGAAGGTAGAGTGCTGGATGCCCAAGAGGCAGTGGAAGGAGGTAAGGGGATCTCCTCTCCATCCCCCAATGGCAAGGCATAGGGCACGAGACCATGCAGCTCTGAGAGGAGAGGGGAGAGAGCGCTGCCCTTTGTGAGAACGACTTTGCTCTTGGAGTTGCCTCCCAGCCCGTGGGAAAGCTCCACACCAAGGAGGCTAAGCAATTGCAGGGGTGTCTTCACCAAGTCAAGCATCTCAAGAGGGCAGAGAGCAAGTGCAGACTGGGAGCACTCCCAGGATCACACATGCCAAACAAAAGAGGCCCTCCAATCATCTCGGGTACCAGACTGCCCAGTTGGAAGAGCAACAGAGCCCCACTGAGTGCCTGTGAATATGTTTGTGAAGCAGTGGCAGCAAGCATACAAATGCAGACGGGCCCGGTCAGCATAGCTTCCAAAGAACAGGCACAGCTGCCAGCAGGGACCAGAGTGGGCCTAGAATACACAGTTCCTGCCCTGCCCCAGTGGTGGTAGGTGGAATCTGGAACCAGACACTATCACCGTGCAAAGGCACAAATCCACCCCATCAAATAGTATGAGTAAGCATATTAACAGTCCAGAATGAGAAGGAAAATTACAAAAAACCCAGAAATCATTCCTGAAGGCACAGAAATTTACAATCTAAATGACACAGAATTCAAAACAGCTATCATAAAGAAACTCAACGAGTTACAACAAAACTCAGAAAGACAGTTCCATGAAATGAGGAATAAAATTAATGAACAGAGGGAATTCTTCACAAAAGACACTGAAACTCAAAAAAACCCAAAAAACCAATCAGGAATGTTGGAGATGAAAATACAATGAAAGAAATTTAAAAAAAAAATCTGTATTCCTTAAATAACACAGCTGATATTATGTAGGACAGAATTACCAACTTAGGGGACAGAAATATAGAAATGCTTCACATGGAGGAGAAGGAGAGAGAGCTAAGACTAAAAAGAAATGAGAAATTCTCTGAGAAATATCCAAATCAATTAGGAAATGCAACATAAAGATTATAGATATTCAAAAGGGTGAAGAGAGGGAGAAAAGAGCACAGAGCTTCTTCAAAGAAATAACAGCAGAGAACTTCCCAAACCTGGGGAAGGGGCTGGAATTACAAGTATAAGAAGCTAAAAGAACTCTTAATTACATCAATGTAAAAGGAACTTATCCAAGGCATATATTAGCAAAACTGGCAAAAAACAACAAAGAAAAAATATTAAGGGCAGTAAGGCAAAAGAAAATAAATTACAAAGGAACCCCTATCAGCCTTTCAGTAAATTTCTCAGCAGAAACCTTACAGGGCAGGAGAGAGTGGAATGACATATTCAAAACTCTAAAAGACAAAAACTTTCAGCCAACAATACTCTGTCAACTGAAAATATCCTTCAGATATCATGGAGAAATAAAAAACTTTCTCAGATAAACAAAACCTAAGGGAGTTCATCACCACAAGACCCTCCCTGCAAGAGATAATCAAGAAGGCCCTCATACCTGAAAAAAAATAAAGAGTTTACAAAGCCTTGAGCCAGAAGAAAAATAGGCAGACAAAATCAGAAAGCTGCAGCTATCATAACAGGTTAGCAAATGTAATTATAACATTAAAGATAAAGGGAAGAAAAACATCAAATATAATATAATCATTTCATTTTAACCACAAACTCTTAACACAAAATGGAATGAGTTGTGATGACAATAACTTTGATGGGGATGAAGAAAGAGATGGAAACTACTTAGACCAAGGAGATAAGAGGCTATCAGAAAACGGACTGTCTCATCTACAAGATTTTTTATACAAACCTCATGGGAACCACTAAACAAAACATCAGAACAGAGCCACAAATGATAAATAAAGAGAAAACCGAGAAAATCATCACAAGGAACCAGCAAATTGAATTGGCAGACTGAAACACACAGGACGAGAGATAAGGGAAATAGAGAACAACGGGAAAATGTGGTAAAATGTCAGTATGAAGCCCTCATGTATCAATACTCACTCTCAAAAGACACAGAGTGGCTGGATGGATTAAAAAACAGCACCTAACAATATGTTGCCTCCAGAAAACACATCCCAGCTTTAAAGACAAACACAGGATCAGAGTGAAGGGATGGAAGATGATACTTCAAGCTAATGGCAAACAAAAGAAAACTGGTATAGCCATACTTATATCAGGCAAAGTAGACTTAAAGATAAAAAATGCAATGAGAGACAAAGAGGGGCAGTACATAATGATAAAAGGGAAATTCCAAAAAGAACACATAACAGTAATAAATATATATGCACTGAACAAGGGGCACCAAAGTATATAAAGCAACTATTAACAGACCTAAAAAGAGATATTAACAGCAACACAGTAATAGTAGGGGATCTCAACCTCCACTTACATCAATGGATATATCATCCAGACAGAAAACCAACAAAGAAACAGTAAAATTGAAAGAAAAATGGACGTCATAGATATATATATATAGAACACTCCAACCAAAATCAACTGAATATGCATTCTTCTCAAGAGCACATGGACCATTCTCAAAGACAGATCATATGCTGGGAAACAAGGCACACCCGAATAAATTTAAGAAGATTGAAATCATATCAAGCATCTTTTCTGACCATAATGCTATGAAACTGGAAATCAACCACAAGAAAAAGGCTGGGAAAGTGAAAGTATGTGGAGAGTAAACAACATGCTACTGAACAACCAATGGATCATTGAAGATGTAAAAGAAGAAATCAGAAAATATCTAGAGATATGTCATACCAACTCATATAGGATGCAGGAAAAGCGGTCCTAAGAGGGAAATTCATAGCTATTCAGGTCAACCTTAACAAAAAAGAAAACTCTCAAAAAAGCAATCTTAAAGTATACCTCACAGAATTAGAAAAAGAAGAACAAAGAAAGCACAAAGTCAGCAGAAGGAGGGAAATAAAAATTAAAATGTAAATAAATGAAATTAAAACCAAAAAACAGTAGAAAAGATCAATGAAACTAAAAGCTGGTTCTTTGAAAAGATTAACAATATTGACAAACCCTTACCCAGACTCACTAACCAAAAAAGAGAGAATCCTCAAATAAATGAAATTACAAATGAAAGAGGAGAAATTACAATGGATACCACAGAAATACAAAAGATTATGACAGAATACTATGAAAAACTATATGCCAACAGATTGGACAATGTAGAAGAAATGGATAAATTCTTAGACTCATACAACCTCCCAAAACTGAATGAAGAAGAAATAAGAAAATCTGAATAAATTTATCATAAGTAAAGAGATTGAAACAGTAATCAAAAACCTCCCAAAAAATAAAAGTTCAGCACCAGAAGGCCTTCCTGGAGAATTCTACCAAGCATTCAAAGAAGATTTTATACCTTATCCTTATCAAATTATTCCAAAAAATGAAGAAGACCAAACACTTCATAACATATTCTATGAGGCTAAAGCCACAGAAGGACAACACAAAGAAGGAAAATTACAGATCAATATCACTGATGAACAAAGATGCAAAAATCATCAACAAAATATTGGCAAACTGAATACAGCAATACATTAATAGGATCATACACCATGATCAAGTGGGATTTATACTGACACCCACTGATGGTTCAACATTCACAAATCAATCAATGTGATAAAACACATTAACAAAATGAGCAGTAAAAACCACACAACAATATCAATAGATGCCGACAAAGCATTTGACAAGATCCAACATCCATTTATCACAAAAAGTCTCAATAAAATGGGTATACAATGAAAATATCTCAACATAAAAAGGCAATATATGACAAACCCACAGCCAACATCATACTCAAAGGGGAAAAACTGAAATCCATCCTTCTGAGAACAGGAACAAGACAGGGTGCCCACTCTCACCACTCTTATTCAACATAGTAGTGGAGGTTTTGGCCAGAGCAATTAGGCAAGAAAAAGAAACAAAAGGTATCCAAATTGGCAATGAAGAGGTGAAAGTCTTGCTGTTTGCAGATGACATGATTTTATATATAGAAAACTCTAAAAAACCCACCAGAAAAGTATTAGAATAATCAACAACTACAGCAAAGCTGCAGGGTACAAAACGAACTTAAAAAACTCAGTTGCATTTCTATACTCTAATAACGAACTAACAGAAAAAGAACTGAAGAATATAATCCCGTTTACAATCGCAACAAAAAGAATAAAATACCTAGGAATAAATTTAACCAAGGAGGTGAAAGATCTATATGCTGAAAACTATAAGAAATTAGTGAAAGAAATTGATGATGACATAAACAAATGAAAGATATTCCATGTACATGGAAGAATAAACATAGTTAAAATGTCCATATTACCTAAGGGAATCTACAGATTCAATGCAATCCCAATCAAAATCCCAATGACAGTCTTCACAGAAATAGAACAGAGAATCCTAAAATTCATATGGGGCAACAAAAGAACCCCAATAGTTAAAGCAATCCTGAGAAAAAAGAAGAAAGCTGGAGGCATCACCATCCTTGACTTCAAAATATACTACAAAGCTGTAGTAACCAAAACAGCATGGTACTCGTACAAAAACAGACACACAGATCAATGAAACAGAACTGAAAGCTCTGAAATAAAACCACACATCTATGGACAGCTAATCTTCAATGAAGGAGAAAAGAACATACGATAGAGAGAGGAAAGTCTCTTCAATAAATGATGTTGGGAAAACTAGAAGAATGAAAGTAGACCATTATCTTTTGCCACGCCCCAAAATTAACTCAAAATGGATTAAAGACTTGAAGGTTAGATGAAAACCCATAAAACTCCTAGAAGCAAATACAGGTAATACACTCTTTGACGTCAGTCTTAGAAGCATCTTTTTGAATACCTTGTCTACTGGGGCAAGGGAAACAAGAGAAAAAGTAAACAAACGGGACTTCATCAGAATAAAGAGCTTCTGCAAGGCAAAGGAAATCAAGAACAAAATGAAAAGACAACCCACCAACTGGGAAAAAATATTTGTACATCAACTTTCCAACAAGGGTTAATCTCCAAAATATATAAAGAACTCATACAACCCAACAACAAAAACTCAACCAGATCAAAAAATGGGCAGAGGATAGGAACAGACATTTTTCCAAAGAAGATATACAGATGGCCAACAGGTACAAGGAAAGATGTTCAACATCACTAATCATTAGGGAAATGCAAATCAAAACTACAATGAGGTATCATGTTACACCTGTTAGAATGGCTATAATTACCAAGACAAAAAACAACAAGTATTGAAGAGGATGTGAAGAAAAGGGAATCCTTATGCATTGATGGTGGGAATACAACTAGTGCAGCCACTATGGAAAATAGTAAGGAGATTTCTCAAAAAATTAAAAATAGCCAATACCATACAACCCAGCTATCCTACTACTGGGTATTTATCCAAAGAACTTGAAATCAACAATTCAAAGAGACTTATCCCCCTCTGTATTTGTTGTAGCATTATTCACAATAGCTAAGACATGGAAGCAACCCAAGTGCCCATCGACTGATGAATGAAATACTACTCAGCCATAAAAAAGGACAAAATTGTCCCATTTGCAACAAGGTAGATGGACCTTGAGGGAATTACGTTAAGCAAAACAAGCCAGACATAGAAAGACAATCACCACAGGATTTCCCACATATGTGCAAGATAAACAAACACATGGACAAAGAGAACAGATTAGTGGTTACCAGAGGGATGGGGGTTGGGGAGGTGGGCATAAGTGGCAAAGGGGCACATATATACGGTGACACAAATAATGTACAACTGAAATTTCACAGTTAAAAACTATTATGACTTCAATAAAATTAAACAAAAAAATCAACATAAAAAAGTGTTAGTCTTAAAATTTGTTCCTTCCTACCACAATCAAAACGTGTCCGGAATTACACACTAGAGGAATATAAAGGGCTTTGAATATAACTTAAAAAGTAGACATATATGGAAGAAAGTAATGCTAAAAACGATTTTTATAAGGCTCCTTGTGTCATTAGCAAAGAGTCACGGCAAAAGAAATCCCAAAATTATAGTATTAAGAGGGATTCTTAAAGTTGTTTCTGGAAATCAGTTTAGAGCAAAGATCTCAAACTCCAAGCCTACAGTGGCCATGCAGGTGATATAAATGGGTACAATGGGCCAGGAGGGCACCATTCCAAGGCAGTGGGAGGTTGCTACTGTTTGGCTCCAGTCAATTGTTGACAGGTGAGAATTAGACCCAATGTTGCCAAATCTTCCAACTTTTCAATAGATGATGGAAATCTGAACTTCCATGCAAATATCTCTAATTTTTTGGCCCAAAATTTTTACAAATATTATGTGGGCCTAACACTTAGTGGTTTAAAGAACTGAAACATCTCTCTGACTACCAACAACAAAAAAGCCAGCTGGAAATTGGAAAAAACTTAATTTTCTTAAGTTTATCCCTACAGGATTACTAATATTACCATGACTAATAATACGAGATTTTGCTTTTAAAATATAAAATGCTTACAAATTAGGAATAATTTTATTTAGTACCCATCTCTAATTCAAATTAGGACTTCAAATAGCAAGTTTATTTGAAATAACAGTAAATGTTAACAGTAAGCATCAATACACTAATATATAGCTGAAAAAGAAATCTATTTCTCAAGAAACAAGCATAAAAACAATTTCGTTTTAGCAAGGACATTACAAGTGTTAAGTGATTTTATTAGAAAACAATTTCAGAAAAAACATTTAAAAGATATGATCACTGCTCCTAGAAACAGTCACCCACTAGTTCTTTTATAGTGACGTTGCTGCTGGTGGACATCAAGATTTTTGTGAAGTCTTAGGTTATAAAGACATACCTAACAACGACAAACCATATAATTTTCTTTTTTAATTTTCTACTTTTCTCATTCACAACCCTAATATTCTTTTTGTTTAGGTAGAATGAGTCCCAGTTTAGGATGTTGTTTCTTTTCTGTTGAACTATTTATCATGAAAAACCAATTCAAAGGATTATTTGAAGGAAACAAAGTGTTTTCAAAATTTGGTCTGCTCACCTCTTTCGTTTTCTTTTGTTAATCCTCTGGAGTAAGCAGATGTTATACCTACAAGACTATTTGGCCTGTTTAGTTGACTTGAAGCATGGAGTGAACTGCTCATGGTAGAAAGTGAAGAGGATGGAGTAGTTGAACTTGAAGTTGATGCTGGTCTGTAACGCTGGTAAGTCTGTGAAACATTAAAATTAAAAGTCACATGAAATATTAAAAGAGTTAAAAACATATAGAACACTTAAATTCATCCCAAAGGAAAAGTAATGTTCTAATCATGTCAAAATAACTCAGATTTCCAGTTAAAATCCTTTTGAGTATTCTGTATACAGTTGTTAGTATATCAATCTCTTGTATACTGAGAATCATAAGAACTATTTGTCATATTTGACCTAGTTGTGTTGTTGGTATACTGTTACCTCATCATACGTTCTGGAGTACTTTTGCTTATATTCATCTTCTCTAGATGTTTCTGACTCCTTCTTTTCTTCTTGCTTCTCTTTATCCTGTTTTTCTTTTTCCTCTTTTTCTTTTTCTTCATTTTCTTGTTCTCTGGTTCGGGTAGAACGACTTCTTCCTATTGTTTTTTCAGCTTCCTGAAGATCAGTCAATGTCACCCCCTGCACACAAAAAAGATAAATTTAATTATGAGAGGCATTAAAGCTTATTTCAAAGGAATGTAAGTAGATAAATTAAATATGAATGTATTAAAAGTCAAATATGCATGTTTGGAATTGGTTTCCAAATTGAAACAGAATTTCTACTTAGCAAGTCACAGTCACTCTATGAAGAATCATCATGAGCAAGCACAATAATAGGTACTGAGAAAAACATAAAATATGTGTAAGAAACTGTCCTTCTATTCAAGAAATTAACAAAATAGCACAGGAGATGACAGAAATACCATATGAATATAAAATTCCCAAGAAGTTCAGAGAAAGGAGGAAAAGCCAATATATTACATTGTTTATACAGGCATGTGCTGCATAACGATGTTTCAGTCAACTAAGGACTGCATATACGACAGTGATCCTATAAGATTAGTACTACATAGCCTAGGTCTGTAGGAGGCTATACTATTTAAGTTCGTGTAAGTACACTCTATGATGCTCACACAGTGACAAAATCACCTAACGATGCATTTCTCAGAACGTATTCCCGTCTTTAAGTGATGCATGACTGTATATTAAATTTATATGTATTTATGTTTTTATATATGTATATGCACACAGAAAAGATTTCAGTAAAGAAAAAATTTTTGAAGGTTAAGTTTTGAACAACAGGTTGGATTTCAAGAAATAAAAGTACAAAGAAAAAATATGTTAAGATCCTAGCAAAGACTTCAGTTTGAAATGTGAGTAATGGTAAGGATCTAACAGTTGAATGTGGATTTGGAACTCCTCAACTGTAGGAAAGGAAAGACACAAAAGGATATAAGAGACATAATTAGAATGGCAAGGAGGAGATAAGGAGGTAAGAAGTAGCCCAAGTGACATTTTTCTCATACTTGCACATTAGCTGCTTGATACAGCTAATAAAACAGACCTATTCCCCCACAACTCCAAACATTCACAGAATTCTTTTTACGCTTATCAAATACTCTGCGCTAGACACCATGTTAGGAATAAAAAAATAAATACTCAAAGAGATACAAAAGCATACACTAATTAGATAGATTGTAATATTAACAGTATAAGCATACACAAAGGCAAAGGGAGGACCACTAAAGCAACTTTTATCTTTTAAGATTTACTCACATCATATACTGACATCAATATTCTCACAGGAAAGTAAAAAAGGCAAAGGCAATTTATTTGGAAGTTTATATGTTATACACTTTATTACCTGTGTTGATCTTCTCGACTGCCTTGCTTGTCTAGATCTTGCTTTTCTTTGGGATTCAGACTCTTCATCTCTAACAGGAGTGAGGTATGATCTACCGTAATAAATAAAAATCGTTAGTTGGAGATATAATACCTGTGAACATAATTACATAAAAATGTGTGCGAATGAAACATACAAGTTTAGCATCTTAATGGGTTTAAAAAGATGTCTTCAGAAAATAGTTATACCCACTCTGAAATTCAACAATGCCATGTGATAATTTTTTAGATTGAAAATAATCATATTAACATATCATAGTTTTCAAGTTCTTCCTAACCAGTTTTTTTTTCTTTTTTTTAAAAACCATGTAATGTCATTCCTTTTAGTCCCTCTTTTGATTCCTTGCAACACTATCCTAGGTGACATATGAAGTTATCTGGCTAACTCTACACTGTCAGTGTCTTCTTATGGTACAATGGTTAGGACTGCATGCAACATTCAGGATATGGGATGACCAGTGAGTAAGTAACACTCCCTGTAGTCTTGTCATGTGCATTTATTAGTGATGTTTTTGGTAAACATCCTATCACAGGATATGCACAATTATAAAAGCATGCAACCTATGCCAAGAGTTAATTAATTAAAGAGTCGAACAAGCAGAGATAAGACAGAGCCTGCAACATAACAAGAAAACTTCCCCCAATGATCACTATTACTTGGGAAGTTCAATCATTAACATCTAGTTACATGACCATCTAGCTTACATTTCTCAGAGAACACTCAGAAGTCGAGTACTTCTATTTTCTGTGGTGTTTATCAAGATTATACCACTTGCCCCCATTTCCAGATGTTACTTTTTAAAAAGACTCTTTTGTTAGCTTTAGTATTCTTCTCAATTTGCAATTCATTCTGCTCTTTAACCTCTGTGACACTATTCATATATTCTTAACAAACTTCAGAATTTATTCTTGGTTTTGTGCCTTATCTTTTAGGGTTTTTTGTTTTTGTCTTTTTGTGAGGAAGACTGGCGCTGAGCTAACATCTATGCCAATCCTCCTTTGTCTTATGTGGGATGCTGCCACAGTGTGGCTTGACAAATGATGCTAGGTCAGCACCCAGTATCCAAACCTGCAAACCCTGGGCCGCCAAAGCAGAGTGCATGTACTTAACCACTACGCCACTGGGTCAGACCCTCTTCTAGTTTTTTTTGAATGTGCTCTAAGTTCAGAGAGTTCAACATATCTTCATACTCCTTAGAATCATTTATGGTTTCTTCAGAATTCTTTTTAGAGAGCCCTCATTCCTTTTGTTACATAGGAATTCATATTTCTTTCCTCCACACTCTTGAATTCTTTGAAATCTGTCTCTCTAAAACTACAATAGGTGATTCATTATTTCCCAGGATTCAACTCCTTGGATAATTAACCCTAAGATGATAAGGTTGTTTCTCACCCAAGATCCTAGTTGCCTCAATTTCATCAAATTAACTGTTACTCATTGATTACAGTTAGTTCTAGAGGGCTGGTTCTTCCCGTTTCTCTTCTTACAGATAAACTGTAAACGAGAGAACTCAAGAAATTCTCAAGAGGGTGTTTTTACTTGAATGAGACATCCAATAAACTTAGAAAGATGAAAATCCCACCATTACTATATTTTGACTTAGGTTGTTTTTATCATCCAATTTGAGAAAATATCACCTGTTTTCTCCATTTGGTTCAACAACTTATGGCACTATATTATGATGATATAACTTCCTTTTTTCTCTTTATCTGTATGTTCTCTATCATGTTTTCATCTCTAGGTTTCTAGGAGATCCTGAAAGACTATGTTTTTTTGCTATCATATAGCACTACATTTATCTTATCAATAAGGCACACTTCATCAAATTGAAGCATTTCATTGAAGAGCTCTATGTTACCAAATTTTGTTTCTACTAAAATATCAGTACTGATTTAAGTTTATAGACTAAGTTTTAAATGTTTTTAAAATTAAATTTATAATTGTTTGTTTCCTGTTACCTTAATTTGTTCTCCTAAATGTGGAAGGCAAGGAAAAAATTCACTAAACATTTTGGTTATCAGCCATTTCCTTTGTTTGACTTTCTCTTAGTTGAGATTCTGCTACATATGGCTCCATCTGTACCAACGCATAGATCCAGAGATGAGCGCCACTTGTAGGATATCTGCCCTCTTCCACGATACTCGAGCTACACAAAGCTTGACATTTCTCTTTCTCCTGTAGTTTTATAATTTTCATTCTGTCTATATATCTACTGTCATGAGTTTTAAGGTTTTTATTTAGATATAACAGGTACTTCCTATTTTTATAACAACTCTAATGATTTTTCTGGGATAAGTAATTCAAAAAGAGAAAGAGGGGCTGGCCCCATGGCTGAGTGGTTAAGTCTGCGTGCTCCACTGCGGTGGACCAGGGTTTCGCCAGTTCGAATCCTGGGCACAGACATGGCACTGCTCATCAGGCCATGCTGACGCGGCATCCCACATGCCACAACTACAAGGATCCACAACTAAGAATATACAACTATGTACCAGGGGGCTTTGGGGAGAAAAAGGAAAAAGTAAAATCTAAAAAAGAAAAATAAAACAAATAAAATTTAAAAAATAAATAAGAAATAAAAAGAGAAAGAGAATAAACTTATTAGAGATTAAGAAATATTATATCTGGGGTATAAAATTAACGTGCATAAATCAGTAGCATTTCTATACACTAACAATGAACTAACAGAAAAAGAACTCAGGAACTCAATCCCATTCACAATCGCAATGAAAAGAATAAAATACCTTGGGATAAACTTAACCAAGGAAGTGAAGGATCTATACAATGAAAACTACAAGACTTTCTTGAAAGAAATTGACGATGACATAAAGAGATGGAAAGACATTCCATGCACATGGATTGGAAGAATAAACATAGTTAAAATGTCCACACTACCTAAAGCAATCTACAGATTCAATGCTATCCCAATCAGAATCCCAAGAACATTCTTCAGAGAAATTGAACAAACAATCCTAAAATTCATATGGGGCAACAAAAGACCGCAAATTGCTAAAGCAATCCTGAGCAAGAAAAACAAAGCCGGCGGAATCACAATCCCCAATTTCAAAACATACTACAAAGCTACAGTGATCAAAACAGCATGGTACTGGTACAAAAACAGGTCCACAGATCAATGGAACAGAATTGAAAGCCCAGAGATAAAGCCACACGTCTATGGACAGCTAATCTTCGACAAAGGAGCAGAGGGCCTACAATGGAGAAAAGAAAGTCTCTTCAACAAATGGTGCTGGGAAAACTGGACAGCCACATGCAAAAGATTGAAAATTGATCATTCTTTTTCACCACACACCAAAATAAACTCAAAATGGATCAAAGACCTAAAGATTAGGCCTGAGACAATAAATCTTTTGGAAGAGAATATAGGCAGTACACTCTTTGACATCAGTTTCAAAAGAATCTTTTCGGACACTATAACTCCTCAGTTGAGGGAAACAGTAGAAAGAATAAACAAATGGGACTTCATCAGACTAAAGAGCTTCTTCAAGGCAAGGGAAAACAGGATTGAAACAAAAAAACAGCTAATTGGGAAAAAATATTTACAAGCCACTTATCCGACAAAGGGTTAATCTCCATAATATACAAAGAACTCACACTGCTTAACAACAACAAAAAAAACAACCTGATCAAAAAATGGGCAGAGGACATGAACAGACATTTCTCAAAAGAAGATATGAATATGGCCAATAGACACATGAAAAGATGTTCATCATCACTAATCATCAGGGAAATGCAAATCAAAACTACACTAAGATATCACCTTACACCCGTTAGATTGGCAAAAACATCCAAAACCAAGAGCGACAAATGTTGGAGAGGTTGTGGAGAAAAAGGAACCCTCATACACTGTTGGTGGGAATGCAAACTGGTACAGCCACTATGGAAAACAGTATGGAGATTTCTCAAAAAGTTAAAAATAGAAATACCCTATGACCCAGCCATCCCATTACTGGGTATCTATCCTAAGAACCTGAAATCAGAAATCTCAAGGGTCCGTTGCACCCCTATCTTCATCGCAGCATTATTTACAATAGCCAAGATGTGGAACCAACCTACACGCCCAGAAACTGATGATTGGATAAAGAAGATGTGGTATATATACACAATGGAATACTACTCAGCCATAAAAAAAGACAAAATTGACCCATTCACAGCAACGTGGATGGACCTCGAGGGTATTATGTTAAGCGAAATAAGCCAGTCAGAGAAAGACAAACTCTATATGACTCCACTCATAGGTGGAAGTTAGTATATTGATAAGGAGATCTGATCGGTGGTTACCAGGGAAAAGGGGGGGTGGGGGGAGGGCACAAAGGGGGAAGTGGTGTACCCACAACATGACTAACAAAAATGTACAACTGAAATCTCACAAGGTTGTAATCTATCATAACATTAATAAAAAAAAAAAAGAAATATTATATCTGAAATATGATGAGAAGCTTTGTTGTAGAAATTGGTTATATAAATTTTGAAAATGCTATACATTCTAACATTCTCCAGGAAAATCACAACATACTAAAAGGTTGGAGAAGTACTGAGAGAAGAAATCTGTTTAAGTGTGTTTAACTCAGCATTTCCTAAGATCATTTAAGTAGAAAACACTTTTTATTTTCTTTTGCGGTACACCTATTAAATGTGGAAAAGTGCTCTGTGAAACATCAGCTTGGAAAATATGGTCCACTGGCTAGTTTTTTCCTCCATTCATTTAACACTTATTTATGTACCTACTGGCCCTATGCAATTTATTGCTTTTTGGATTTCCACCAGATGAGAAGAAAAAAGGTAAAAGAAGAAACCTAACTGTGATAGAAAATCTGGTTAAATAAAAAAAGTTTACAGCAGCCCAGATATATCACTTCAGCATTTCAGGAGCTGCTCTGAAAGGAAGCATGAACATGGACTATTGAATTCTGACTTCTACTATACACATACAAAGTTTTCATATTTAGTTTAGAACATTGGCACTTTGCCCTTTTACACACACGGCAAATAGCACTAATCAACCATCACACTATCTTCCCAGGAGCCTAGATTCTTTTTCAACACAGTTTCAAGTTGCCATCAAAGTTAATAAATCTATTTATCATATCTGATTTAACATTTGCAGCTTAGATGGATAAAAATTACTTGTTCACAGACTTGTAAAATCTGCTCATTTAAATTTTCCATACAAGATTCGCCCCAAATTAGCACAAAAATCTAGCCTATCAATTTGTAATACACAATATATTTCCCATATTTGATAGTTCCCATCTGATATTCAGTTCCTTTGTCTTCCCTTGGGGTGAAATAGAGACCAGCAGACCTCTAAGAATAGGATGTAGAGAAGAAAAATAATTAATATATTTTATGTGTGTTTAATTCTAAACAGCTGATGATCAAAAAGATGGTAAACTATACCAGTCAAACTCCATTGTGGCCTTAATCATTACTATATTATACTATCATACCAGATCTCTTTCTTATAACTAGATAGAACATGTAATTGTACTCTTTAGTAGTCTTAGATTGCTTACTATTTTCTGAGTAACCCAATAGTTTTACTTTTAAATTAGGGATTTTTTTCAATAAATGCAATTATTCTATATATTTTTTATTTCACTGACATTTATTGGCTGAAATATTTATATTTATTTATACTATTTATATTTTGGTTAGTCAACCAAATTACATCTCTAAAAAGCTGAATACCAATCGTTGTTTCTCACTTACTTTTTTCCTTCCAGAGGCAAGATAAATAAATGGGCAAATGGGAGCTGGCTGAGCCAAGGGAAAGTGGTGGAAGAGAGTGGTTATACTAAAGTAACAGTTCTATGTGAATTTACGCTACAAATTTGAAGTTATTAGTAAGGTAAGGTTTTGCAGTTTGAAAAGACTATGGAGAATTAGAAATACTTAAACAATGAAAGAATTTGCTATCATGTTCCATCTATTTAAAGCTAGTTTTTCTCCTCCCTACCACCCCTCAGATATCCCCTAAATTAATCCATTGGAAATCTTAACAAACAAAAACAAGAAATCCTCATCCAATCCTGATCAATAGAAAGAAAAATTTAAGAAGACTGTGGAATTTATAGCGTGTATGGTAACTTTACATAATATCCAAAAGTACATATGTAAGGGTACCTAAAATGGCACAAATGTACTGACATCTTTTTCAGTCATAATATACTTTTAAATCATCATATATACATATTTTGGGGCAGATTTTCAACCATATACATTTCAAAACCACTAATGAACTTTAATTACAAGACAAACAAGAGGCCAACAATGTATTCAAAATTGCAAGCAATTATTTGACATAAAACAAAACACAAACATTAATTAATATTATTGCAAACATCATTGAAACAAGGTTAAGACAAACAAAATTTCTGTAATATAGACCAGGAAAAATGTCAACAGGCACATTTTGTTTCTTATACTATTAGAATCTGCTTTGTCCTGACAATATCTCTAAATATTTAATTCTCAATCTTTAATGTCTTTCAGGATTAATTTTAAAAGCTGAAACTCAACTCTCTCCAATAACATAAAAAATAAAGAAAGACTATGTGTCAGAAATAAAACAAAGTTAATCCAGTTTGTATTTTAGTAAGGAAATTATCAGTTTATAGCTAATTTAATTTTGCAAGAATAAAATATAAAAAAGGTTACATTTAGTTTCCTAAGATTTTCCTCTTTTTTGAGAGGAAAACAAAATTCAAAGCTAGGGACTACACATGATACAGCAGAAAGAACACTGGACCGATTTGCCTGTAATCTTGGGCCTAGCCTTAGCTTTCACACTAATTAACCATATAAAGTGGAAAAGTCTGTATCTCTGGGTCTCAGTTTTCTTCTGTAAAGCAAGATATCACAAAAGATAAGTTCCTTTCCAGATCTATGATTCCATACCAATTGGCAGCAGCAGGAAGAAATGAGCAATGCTTATAAATATGCACAAAATAAAACTCATAGACCCTTTAAGAAATTTAACCAAAGAGTGCCTTCTATGTACCAGAATTAAAACTAAGTGAATGTATTTAACGTATTTAAAATTATTTGTCTTACACATATGTACAAGAAGCCATTCTTTAGCAAGAGAATCTTAAAATGAAATTCTCAAAAATAACAACAAAAACAGTTTACAATCCATTTCTTAATAATGGATGGGAACAATGAGAAGAATGAAAAAACCTGTTTTTGTCAGTTACACCTACTTTTCCATGAGTGAGATTGTGTGTGTTTAGGTATCCATCACAAAAAGTTTTGAATTAAAACAACTATAAAAAAACTAAGATGGCTAAGTAACAAGACAACTGTCTGGCTCACTGCCTTTTAACAGAAACATCAATTCTGTCAGAGGTGGGTTATCAAGCCTTAAAGCCAGTAATTGCTAATTATATCAATTTACATAGTTCTGAGCTGATATAGGTTACTCCATTTATTAACCTACTGGAGAGATGGTCATCAACTTCCTAAGAGTAAGAAAACAAAACAAAACAAACAACTTTCATCACTGGGCAAGATACATCAGCAGTCCTATTTGGGCTTTACACACCTGCGTCTCTCCCTGACCTCTGATGTGGAGGAGACAGTGCCAGCAGTAGTTGTAGTCAGGGTTGTGGTAGAGGCTGCAGCATTTACAACAGTTGGAGCAACAGGAATGGTCACTGCCGTAGGAACACTGTCCTTTTCTTTTTCAGCACTATCCTCAGCCCACAAACGATTTGAGGTACTATTGTATCATAAGCAGCAACACAAAAAGAGAAAAGGAAAACAGCTAAACAATGAAAGCACTTTCTAGCAGCTGAAAACATGTGACTACAGGGATGGATTTTTTAAAAACACAAAGACATCTTTCAGCTATGAACAAAAAAGCTCACCCAGAGCTGTCAGAGACAAATTTATATTTTAAGCAACCTAATTCAAGGAAAGTTCATAATTCAGGAACTTAACATTTTCCCCAGACATGCATAATTGCCTCTTTTGGGAACCAATTTTTGCTTGCAGATAATTTTAACAAGGTAAATGAAAAAATCCAGAGCCCCACAATCTTCTAAACAAAAATGCATGCACATACATAAGCACACAGTAGGCCTGAACACAAAATGTATCTGTGACTCACCTGCTTTGTGTGCCTGCTGAGGAAGAACCCGTTGTAATCTTTGTAGTAGTGCTTGTGCTGGAAAGCAGGCTTTTCTGAAGCCCAGCTGCAGAGGTAACTGTTGGTGTTGATGTGGTGCTTGGAACACTAGAACTAATCAAATCATTATGTCTTCTACCGAAGGAGCAACTAAAGGAAAGAGTCATATCTATATAGGATGTGTTCGTATGTGTACTCTATAGTTAAAGTCTATACATTACACAGATTCACAAGGGTAGGAAAAATCTAAAAAATTGTGTTCCTAAATATACCACCGGCTCCAGCACCAAGAGTTGCATCTACAACTTGCTAGAGTCTAGATGATTTCACTAATTTGGTAGTGTATCACTTTATTGCCTCCCCTCCTCACTCAACAAGAATGAATGATGATCTGATCTGATCTTTCACATTTCTGGAAGTGTCATGCCAGCCTGGGTCTGAGGAAAACACTTTGCTTTGGCTTTACTCAGGGAAAGTTAAGACTGATATTTTTGAAGAAAACTGTTTCAGCAATGAGTCACATTCCTAGGAGTGACCCATACTTACATTATACTTGTTCATCTTTTACTCTTCTTTTTGGTTGCCTTTAGCAGAGAAACAATTTATAGGTTTTTTTCCCTCTCCCATGTGCTATTACCAACATTCTAATTCAAGGTATTTCCATAGCTCTGAGGTCTGAGACAGGTGGAAATTTTCTAGGTCACCAAACGATGACCAGATCAATTAAGACACTGATCTAGTTCAACTGCTCTCAGCAATTATATGAGTTCTTCTTTAATACGCTACAATCTAAAAGATACTTCATAAAATATCAAATTTAATTACATAGTGTAATAGAAAGGCATAAGTAGGAGCAAATTTTCACCCATATTTAAATAGATGTTCTATGTCTTAGATGAAGCTTTAAACAACAAAAGATATATTTAATAAAAGGATGTATTTTCTTATATGATATTAAATTGAGGGCTCCAAATTGCCTCATATTTTTATAAAAGAATACAGAAAAGTTACTTAAGAATTACATTATTACCTTTTATGATAAGTTGATCCTTCATTAATTGAGCTATTTTTTTTGAGATCATCTTCCCATTTTCTTCTTGTATACGAACTACTTATTCGCAAACTTGAAGAGTCTCTGTGAAAAGAATATGCTTCAGATTTCTGGTAGGTAATTGTAAAATAGGGTTAAGAAAACGGTATATTAATAAACATTGGTAGAAGCAGAAATTAGTAAAATCCCTTGGGAAAACACTTTGGAATATTTATTAAGAAATGAAAGTAATTCCAGTTCTAAGATTCTATCCCTAAGGTATAATCTTAATTATGGGGAGAAAATTGAGATGTTCACAGAAGTTTTATTTATGATCACAAATATTAGACAACTTAAATGTTCACAGTTCGGGGAGGGTAAATGGTTACTTTAACCTCAGCAGATCTATTCTATGGATCATTATATATTAATGAAAAACAATGTTTATGGAAAACATATATTAACATCTAAGACTACATGTGAGATGTTAGGTGAAAAATAAGTCAAGACAGAAAACTGGATTATTATACCATGACTATAACTATATTAAAAAGTTCTCACACACCATGTGCTGAAAATTAGTAAGAAACAAACTAAAATGTTGACAGTGATTAAGGACTTTTTCTTCCCTCTTCTTTCTCCTTTTCTATACGTTCCAAACATTTAGAGAGCATGTACTAGTTTGTGACTTCATCTGCCACCATCATCCCCTCACTGTCTTCTGACCACAATGCCTTTTTCTTTTTTTCTATTTCATGAACATACCAAGCCTGCACCTCCTCAGGACCACGCATTTGGAGTTCCATCAGGAATACCCTTTGTCTCTTCCCGCGATCCATATCCCACACAATTACAATGCTCATGTTTGAATTCTCATGCTAGATAGTAAAGATTTTACAGTAAGAACATAAAAGCAAATCATAATGAATTTACCTGTTTTCTTTCTCTTCGATGTCAGATGTACTGGCTAGTCGTCTGGGTATTGTAGGTGCAACATACGCAAGCCTAGTTCCCTTACTATCTTTCTCCTACACAACAGGAAAAAAAAGACTAAAAATCAATCTGTGTGATGATTATAGGAGCTGTGGAAGTATTAAGCAAAGAGTATTCAACGATTTGTAATTACACACCCATCACAGTTTACTTTATAGTATTTCCATAGTTCCTAGCTAAACTCTGAAATTGATATCTTTAACATAAGCACTAAAGGATAGCCTGTTCAAACTAATTTTCTTTTCTTTGTCCTTTAATCTAGAATTAGATAATATTTAACAGAAGAAAGGAAGAAAAATTCTCCCACATTTCAATGACTTTTTCTAAAACTTCTATAATAGATTACTTAAAGTAATATAGTACCATAAGGTAAAATATCCTCATTTCTTCTAGAGAAATAAGGTCTCACATATAAGTCCCAACATTTATGTTATACAAACTATTTACTACCTTGACATTCTATGCTTTAAAATATAACATTAAAATATTCAAAACATAAATTATTTAAATTATATTTATCTAAATCTGGCTGAGACTGTTGTGACATGGCATCTGATACATTCCCACTATATTGCCTGCTATATTGGCATCAAGTACTTGGAAAACAATTGGGCAATAAATTTATACAAAATAAAAAATATTAAAATTACTTGATGAGAAATTCCCTTTCTGACCAAAGGAAATGAATTTCTGATACAAGGAAACACTCTTAAATAAAGGAAGAAAATTGCAGAGGAAAAAAAGTCCAAGCACTGAAATGCAACTATATAAAATAGCATTGCATGAACTGTGTGCATTCTATTTGATGCAATTTAATACTACCTTTCAAAATATAGTTATTAAAACCACTCATTAAGATGAAATTGCTCGTGATGCATCAGATGAAAAAGCAGGTAAAGAAACTGCAGATACCGAATAAATGCAACCTATGAGTATACTCTCATTCTAGAATAAATGTGTTCCTAAATGTCAAAAAACTTTCTTAATAAATAAAATAAACTTGTTTCTTATATATTTTATTGTAAATTTCAACTAGGATAAAAGATTCCTTTAATTGAGTATAATCTCATAATTTATGTTTTGAGCGAATACATCTGATTTTCCAATACGTATAATTCTATCTAGATATTTCTTTACAGTAGGTAGATTTGTATTAGTGAATAATTCAATAAGTCAGGTGAATTAAGTTGATACACAGATCTAATGATACATAGTAGAAAACCCATCGGATTTGATGTTCCTGAGAAACAAACTATTAGAGTTTTTAAAGAAACCAGATTGAGAAATAGATTACCTTTTCTTTATTATCCAAAGAGGAGGAAAGTCTGGGACTTGAAGCTGAACGCATAACACCTGCAGTGTCTTTTTCTTTCTGAGCCTCTTTAGACGCTGTGATTTCTGCAAGTGCACCGTAACTGCCTGTCTTTCTAAGTCCTAACCTCCAAGATGCAGGAGACTCGTCTTTTCTCTCTTCTTCTTTGGGAGAAACTTTTGTAGCTGAGGTTGGAAACTGTTTTTATTTTATTTTATTTTTAAGGAAAAGAAAAAAAGAATTATCAAGACGGATCAGTCCTTAAGCCGGAAACAACTTTTAGATAACATGTCTGAACTCACAGTTAATAGTTTCAAGAGAAATACTTTTACTAAGTAGGTTAATGTCTTAGTCAAAAATGTAAAGATCTAAAACTGAAAAAGGAATCAACTATCTCTGTAGAAGTTAGATTTAAGAAAACACACTCCACACTTTATATCACACAGAAAAATTATGATGCAAATATAGAGAACAAAAATGAGCACAGCATAAGGACTTAAAATCATGCATCTTTGGAACCAATCTTCATATTAAACTTGTTATGTTGTAACCTAATATAAATCCTTGCACATAGAAATGCCTCACCATAGATTTTTCACCCTTATTGGGCACAAGAACAATGCCAGTTTTGCGCAAGCCCTGCCTCCATGATGCAGGATCTACTGATTCCACCACAGGCATGATAGGAGCAATGAAATCAGACTAAAGCCAATTAAAATAAGACAGGTAAAGAGAGAAAGACTGAAAGCATGAAAACAGAAAAGGAGGTTATGAGCAAAACACACTTTTTTCTTTTTAAAAGAATTTTATAATAAATTGAAACCCAATAACTGGGTAATAATCCAAACTTTAAAAGTCACTGTGAACAAGTTTCAGTTTTAGCCTGAGATAATCTGAACGAATCTAGCAGAGAATCTTCTAAAGCAGTTAAAGGCACATACAGCAGATAATATTACAATATGTGAATGAACAAACTACTGCACTTTAATTTTGTTTTTACTCATTTATATACTTGGGGTAGAAATTTTTAAATCCAGCATAATCAATAAAGAAAGAATACTATATATTTTCTAATTATAGTATTTAATTCAGTAATATTTTTAATTTTATAGCCTTAAATTTACTGTTTGATATTTCCACCAAACATTAATCTAAACATTTCAACTAAAAACTATTTTTTTTTGGTGCATATATTTATTTCATTTTCAGGGCTTTCCAACAGCCCTAAAAACGAAACATCTGTTATCTTTAGCTCACTTCATCAACGTCACTTACAGAGTTTAAATATTCAACAATACTTAAATATACACAGACAAATATAGCAACTAACTAGTTGCTTTGAGCATAGGATATGGGTAATTTAAAAAAATCCTTTCTTTCATATTTACTGCCAAAGTTTGTTGTAATGAGCAGTTTAAAGTACTCATGATGTTGGAGAGCTACTTCATGGACAAAATGGTTATAAGATACCTCTGGTACTTCTAGTAATTAATTCCTATCAATAGAGTCGAAAACAAAGACATGATAGACAGCATTCCTCAGTTCCCACTGTGCACTGAGGCATTCCAGGGGGTCAGAACAAATTCTCAGGGGTGTTGTAGGATATTTTAAAGTTCTGAGAGACGCACAGTGACATCTGTTGGACACTGCACAAACTGCCATTATTAACTTATTTGCACCTAATAATGAATAATAAATGAAACAAAGAGGTATTTCTTTTGGTCAGTGGCACTGTGAAAAAAACTCCACTGACAGAAAATTTCAGGAACACCTCTGTAATATTTCATGCAATATGATAGGCATTGAGATGACTGTTTATTGATTTCTGAGTTTAAAGTCACAGTACTCTAGAACAGGGGTTGGCAAAGTTTTTCTGTAAAGGGCCAGATTGTAAGTTTTACGCTTTGCAGACTATAGAGTCTCTGTTGTAACTACTTATCTACACTGCTGTAGCACAAAAGCAGCCACAGTAATACCTAAATGAATGAACATGGCTATGTTCCAACAAAACTTTATTTAGGGACACTGAAATTTGAATTTGTGTCACAAAATATTCTTTTCCTTTCCATTTTTTCCCCCAACCGTTTAAAAATATTAAAACCATTCTAACTTGTGGGCTGTACAAAAACAGGTAGAAGGCCAGCTTTGGGCCAGACACCACGGTTTGCCAATCCCAGCCCTAGAATATCCCCCAAAGCAGAAATAAATGATGTTTCTCCATGATAAAACAGTCAAATAGCAGATAACAATTACTGAACATTGCAGCAGAAGCGAACATTTACCAAGTGTTTACTCATGTCACACTCTAGGTGCTTCACATGGGTTATCTAATTTATTCTTTACAAGCACCTAATGAAATACTATTATTACTGTTATTTTAGAGTTGAGAAAAATGAGGCAGTATTATCAATTTCCAAAGGGACATTTGTTGCACTGTAACGACCAACATACCTCCACTCTGCCTAACATGAATTTGGATTTAAGTACTGGTTTATATGTTTAAAAGCACCTTTCAATTTTACTTGGTGTGTAAATGAACCTCTCCGAAATACTCAATTATACCTACTCCCTGAAACTCTTTTTTTTGGCTTTTATAACAGGACAGTATTTAGACATTCCTACTCTTCTCACCACCCTCTTTCTTGGTCTTCTTGTTCTTGTTAGTGGCTTTCCTTCTCATAGCTCGGCAACATAAGCACTCCAAGAGTCTATTCTCAGATCTCCCATGTTCTCTTTCTACTTTCTTCTCCTGAGGGTTGGGAGTAGGATCTTCTCTATTTCCTCAGGCTAAATATTAACAGTATTCAGTTTATTCTGAAATCTGTTATTCTCCAGCTCAGAATGACTCCTAAATTCACAGGGCTGAATTTCTATTTACCTGTAGAAGGCACTATCTAAAATTATAATTGGAACCTGGAACTCAACATGTCTAAAATCGAATACCTTTATTTCCAAACTAATTCTTTCTCAGTTCCCTATTTCTGTTAATGGCACCAATAATCTCTTCAATCTCCTGTGTCTGAAACTTCAGTCATGTTAGACATCTTCTCTGTCCTCTTCCTCCATCTATAAATTGGGTGCCAAGTCTCTAAATCTCCTCCTCTCTTTTATAAGGCCACTGCCACATCTCTAAGTTTATATTCTTACCATCCTGGGCAACTTCAATGACTTTTCTAGTAAATCTTCTCTCGATCAGCCTCTCACCTTCAAACATCCCTGTACATTGCTATCAGAATAATATTCTACAAAGAATAATTCTCTCATGGCCTTGTTCAACACCTTCTATGATTCTCTACTATCTATCAAATTCTAAAAATGTTACCACAGAAATGAAAACATTTCATAATTTGGCTCTACTTTTCCTGTTTTACATTGCATCTGTACCCTATAAATCAATCAACTAGGTAACTCATTTTTCCTATAAAATACTCCACATTATCCCTATTTTGCTTACATTGTTTCTCTTCTCTCCCTTTCAACAAAGTGTACAATCATTCCTTCTCTGTTAGTTGAAATACTACCTACTTATTCTTCAAGATCTAGCTGAAATGTTCTCATTCTACTGCTCAAATCAAATGTGATTTCCTCTGTTTCTTAACCATCATTCTACAACTGTACACTTTTAGTTGCATACTTCTATACTCACAGCACATAGTAGTCTTTTATTAAATTATTATTATGCTTAATAACCAGATTTAATTAACCAAAGCATTTAATTCCAAGAAAATTCAGAATTCCTACCATCTAGTGAAGAAAATATAGTTTACACTTATTGGAATTTATGTGTACACAGCAGATAGGTAATTTTTTCCAGAAATCCTAACATTTATTTTAACTAGAGAGAGTTATGAACTTAGTTAAAATTTAAAATCATAAAATCAAACTTATGGTTTTATAGATAATATCTCCACAAATAATAGGCCTGATCTCATTGCTACCGAAAAAGTTCTTTAATTTTAGCTGAAGAGTTAAGACCTTAAGGGAAGATCATTTAAAGCGAATACATCTATGTTTCTCTTCAGTTACCCTGTATTATTACAGAATATAAGTGATATTTAACACTATTTTAGAGCTTCCTGTTTTGTGATCTATTCCTTGCTGTGAGTGAGTGTATGTATTTATTTATATATAGTTTATGCACTGGTGGAGGAAGCTATAGAACTTAAGATACCTTTATCTAAATATTAGAAGCAGAGTAGTGAGTGAGAATCTAAAAATAGAACTCTTAATTGCAAAATCTTTTAAGATGCACTTACAAATTAACAATTCATCTAAGGAAATCTGTATCTGTTAGGTCTCTGAGCTACAAAAAAACCCATCTTGAAACAAACTTAAGAAACACTAAAATGCTAAATTAAAGTGAAAAAAGTAACATTGAACATAATAAGAGGCTTTAAAAGTCACACAATACTGATAAGAAAATTTTGCCATTTATTAAAATATACTTCAAAATTTTTGTACACTATGACTTTATTGCTGTGAATAAAATTTGGCTACAAAACCTTAAGAACAAAGAGTGAAACAATATAATCTTCAAAGTAAGTTATGATGCTTGAAATTGAGAATAAAACAGTTTTTAAACATGCAAATTACAGAAGCAGATAGTTGTCATTAGATCAATTATAGAATCAGAAGTAATTCTGAATAAGAATTTTTACAGCAAAGAAGTTACGAGCCCACTAACAGAGCTATTAAGTATCTGCTTTCAGTTAGGGCAGTTGGCGTAAAATGTCATAAATCTGGGGTTATGCTTGATAAAGATATAGTTGATCATAAAAAGTCTATTTTAATTATGTGAGTATGGTAGGAAAGAGATTGCTTAGCTAAACAATCAAAAGAATGAGAGGCAGTTTCTTGGCCACATATTCCAGGGGGGTGGAGCTTTTGATAATCCCGTAGTTTTAACAGATAATAAATCAAAAGAGCTAAAGTTTAGTATTCATTGAAGAAGTATATAGGGGTTCTAGAATTAAATGACACTTTAAAGCAGCTGATGGTGACACCAATTATGGCAAGATAATCATCTTAAAAATTCTGCAGACAGACTACTTCTGGAGAATTTCACTATAAAGCATATATAATTATGATCATATGAACATGAGTTCTAAATGAATTCAAGAAGCTCTCAGTTCTAGAATACAGAAAGATAACTCATTCATACAGCTTCCTGCTACTCAAACTGTACCAGTGAAATCTATATATTTCTGTCACAAAGATTTCATATTATTGTTTTCTTTAGGAAGTGTTTTAGAAGAGGTTTATTACTAACAGTATGCATTTTTAAAAAATTTTCTAGTTTATAACTTAAAAAAATTAACATTTTGACCACCTGGAGCCAAATTCAAAGATTGGCAAGACTAACAACATGACAGAAACGCTGTGGGGATTTAAAATCAGTCCTCAAACCCATGCAAACCAAATAATGTCAGACAAGCAACAAAGTAAGAAGTCCAAAGGCAGAGACATGACAACTAAATACAATGTGCAATCTGTGAGTGGATCCTTGATTTGGAAAAACCAACAACTAAAAAGATATTACTAAGAGGACACCTGGGAACATCTTGAGTATGTATGTATATTAGTGAACAGAGATAATAGTATTATATCCAAGTGAAATTTCCTAAGTTTAGTGTGGGAAGGAAGGATAATGCCTTTGCACTTAGGAGATACATATTCAACTATTTAGAGGTAAAGTATTATACTGATGGCAATCAATTTTTAAATGGTTCTGCAAAAAAAAAAAAAAAGTGAGTACATGCATGTAGAGAAGGAAATGAGTATGCTCATTAAAGATAAGTAAGGGCCGATGGGGAGGAGCCCTTAAAAAGAGACCAGTAGGTAAAAAAAACAAAACTCTTCATCGTTAATTTGGGTTAAAAGAAGTACAGGTTCTGGGGAAGCAGGAAAAAGGAAAGTCTTTAAAAAGATCAACGCACTAGCCGGAAAGCACTGTTTGGTGGAGAAAAGGAAGCAAGAAGGACGGAGAACAAATGGAGAACAGAATAAGGGAGAAGAGGAAGAAACGAAACTAATATTTTGGGAGCACTTAGTCACTAGCCAGGATCTCTCTCAACCAACGCTTACAACGTTAACTTTCTCTTTGTTTATTGTTTTTATTTTGTCTTTTTTTTTTTTTAACAGATAAGGAAGACAGTAACTCACTCAAGGTCGTAACAACTAACAAGAAGCAGGGTCAGGGGTTGGTCTCTGGTCTGTCCGACATCAGAGATATGCTTACTGGCATACAACATTTGCATGCCTGCTGCTCTGAATTGAGTTAGAAAATGTAAATTCTAGTTCTCTCACTGATTTGTGATACTACTTTTTGTGTTTAACTTATACACGAGAAATTATCAAAATGCATCTTTACTTTAAGAGACAAAGGATACAAACGTGTTTCTCAAAAGTTCAACAGAAATAAAAACTACCACGATCGTTAGTTTTCATATAAAGTTTTTTATCTTTCTATCATTTATTTTTATTACCAACTGAAATATCAATTGCAAAAGATATTTAAAAAAGAATATAATATGGTTCAGAGGAAATCTCAAAGTAAAGAAAGAAAAATATATTCTTATTCTAAAACCTTAAATATTTTTGGAATAAACTATAAAAATTTAGAATTGCCTTAATGCTTTAGTCCAAACAGTACCTGAACAAAATACATGTACTTTTAGCAAACATATTTATTTTGGCTTACCTTTTTAATAGGTGAAGTAGGTGTTGCCTGACCCGATGACACAGTAGGTGTTGTAACAGCCACAGGAGCTGCTTGTGTACTAGAAGTATTGGCATTAGTTACAGAAGCCATGGGTTTTGTCTTATCTGTTTTAAAAGAAGGACATTAACAGTCAAGAGTCTATATGAATTTGGTTTCAATGGCTGGGCAAACAGTATTTTATATTCTATTTTTGTTTCAGGTTTTGTTAGTTCAAAGTCTTTTCCCACTATTATCCCTTTTAATAAGTGAATTTTTTTTTCCTGCTTTATCTCCCCAAATCCCCCCAGTACATAGTTGTATATCTTAGTTGCAGGTCCTTCTAGTTGTGGCATGTGGGACGCTGCCTCAACATGGCCTGATGAGTAGTGCCATGTCCTTGCCCAGGATCTGAACTAGCAAAACCCTGGGCCGCCACAGTGGAGCAAGTGAACTTAACCACTCCGCCATGGGGCCGGCCCCTAACAAGTGAATTTTTCAGGGAGTTTCTAGAAATGTCTCAATATGTATGCTGAAGTAAACAAGATAACATGAAGACACGCAACAAAGCTTCTAAGAACAAGCAGCACAAATAAAATCTGCTTTTTGTACTTTTAACACTATGGAAATTAAAAAAAATATAAATTAATATTTAAAACTTGAATGCATGCCTACAACGTAACTAAAAAAATTATAAGAGCTATGAAATTTTCTAATAGATACACAACTTAATTGCTTATCTGAAACTGATAGCTCCTCTTTTTTCCAAGAAATGTAAAAGTGCTTTTTGTCAATAATCAGCTTATATTCCTGTCAAACAGTATGCTTAAATGTCACAAAGGGCACGTCTTCTCACCCCTAAAAAGTCTAAAGTTAAAATGGGCATGGTATCAGCTGAATTAGGCTAAATCTCTTTCTACAACATATCAAGACAATTTCCAACTAGTAATGAATCACTCAGAAAGAGACTTCTGAAAATATTTTTTAAAAATCAATCTGATGCTAGAAAAAATTCAAAGACTGTGTTTGAATATATAAATCAGATTGGCTTTTAGCAAAACAGTCATATATAAACTTAAATCTTTAAATTCACCGTAATTTATAAATGGGATAGAAAAGTTTACTTTCCAAATGGTCAAACATCATTCTATCTGGTTTTAAAGTATTCCCTTGATTTAAAAATGGAGTAGGATACATATCCTTCTATACTTTTGGGAAGAAGTATTGTGCTTTAAAGCCCTATGAGATACTTATGTTCATTATACTATTTTTCTCTCACTCCTTTAGATCAGTTTTCCAAAGGAATCTTCCACTTAACTTATCATTACTGTATGCTGTTACACTTTATTAAGTACAATATTAAAATATTCTTATCTATAGGACAAATATAAACTTCCCACCAGCAACTCTGGATTTGCAACTCACTGAGTTCTATGTATGTCTAAGAAAAATCCATAAGATGTTAATAGGGTGAAAAACAAAATATCTCAAACTATACCAAAGGACAAGGTCAAACTGGCACATTTAAAGATCACCATAGGGACCGGCCCAGTGGCATAGTGGTTAAGTTTGCATGCTCTGCTTTGGGGGCCCAGAGTTAACCCATTTGAATCCTGTGCACAGACCTACACACCGCTCATTAAGCCATGCTATGGTGGCTTTGCACATAGAAGAACTAGAAGGACTTACAAATTGGATACACAACTATGTACTGAGGCTTCGGGGAGGAAAAAACAAAAAAAGAGGAAGACTGGCAACAGATGTTAGCTCAGGGACAATCTTCCTTTAAGATAAATAAATAAATAAATAATAAAAGTCTCTATAACCTTAGCTTTTCAAATAAACTGAATGAACTAAACTTAGCATAATAAACTTTATTCTCATTGTTAAACAATACTTCTTTTCATTTACAGAAGCTAAGCCTATTCAGCACAGTTAATTACAAATTATGCATAACCAAATTAGACCGTCTTCCTGGGAAACAATCCACCTAACTGGAGACAGTAATTCAACAAATATTTATTAAGTGTCTCCATACTTTAAGCACTGTCCCAGGTACTGGTAATATATCTATCAGTCAATGAAAAGACAAAATACCTTAACTGCACAGAGTTTACAGTCTAGTGGAAGAAATAAATAATAAACAAGATAAAACTCAATATACTTCTTTTTCATTTTTTCTCCTTCTTCCCCTATTTTCTCTTGGTTTAGAAATTTGTTTTATATTCATGAAATCTACACACCAAAGAAGGTATATGCACATTGTAAACATTTATGTTAGTTATAAGAATAATAATGAAACAAATGCCAGGTGTCTACCATCCAACTTAAGTAAATATTATCAATATAGTTGAAGCTCTTCTTTCCATTTGATTTAAATAAATAAAAAAAATTTCAAGGCCTAGAGGGGGAAAAAACCCTAAAAACAAAACTATGCTTCCCTTTTTTCATTCCCTCAACTACCTCTCAAATTTATAGATCATCTGGAAGGAAATTAAAACTTTTGGTTGAGTTCCTGTTTTCATCTGATTAATGAGAAAGATACTTGATAGAAAACCGCTTTGGGGGGCTGGCCCCATGGTGTAGTGGTTAAAGTTCAGTATGCTTCATTTTGGTGGCCCCCGTTCACAGGTTCAGATCTCGGGTGTGGACATACATCACTCGTCAGCCATGCTGTGGAGGTATCCCACATATAAAGTGGTAGAAGACTATCAAAGATGTTAACTCAGGGCCAATTTTCCTCAAGCAAAAAAGAAGATTGGCAAAGATGTTAGCTCAGGGCTAATTCTCCTCAGCAAAAAAACAAAAACCAAAAACCAAAAGTGGCTTGGTAAATAATTTACCAAAGAAAATTCAACAGAGTAGTTACTTTACATCAGTCGGTTTTCCAAGAAAAGAGCCTTACAAGAAGAAGAAAAAAGTAAGTTTAGAAATTGCCAAATCAAGCTGTAGCTCTACAGGGAAATGGCTGCTTTCTCAAGCTTGCCAAATAAAGTATGATAAAGCCTTGTTGATATTAAAAGAGTGAGAGAGAAGGAACCACACAACATTTACATGGATTAGTTCTTAAGATAATAGAGTCAAATTTTCCTGGCACAACCGACCACTAGCAACAGGAAGAACAAAATTATCATTGTATAATGCTTCAGACGAACATTTAAAGTCAGCTCAGTGAGAAACTGAACAGAGTGACTGTTACGCTTCAACTCCAAACAGGGACAAATACAACACAATTTGATGGTAATTAGTTTTATTTATATTTATGGAAAATTTTAAAGAACTATCCAGATAATTAGTCCAATTCTTGTCATTTTACAAGCAAGGAAATTTCAACCAAAAGAGGTCAGGAGACTTGATAGTTAGTGGCAAGACTGGTCTAAATCTGAAGTCTTTTAATTTGCTTTAAATAGCTCCTCAGTGCCTAACATTGACCAGTGAATTGTACAGAAGGGGTCAATTAAGAAAAAATTAGGTAACAAAATCTCAGAAATCTCTATGAGATGCCTGGACTTCCAGTTCTTGAATTCTACTGCATAATTAGTAAAAGACTTGACACGTGAGTTAGGAGATTTAGGTGCTAGTCCTAGCTTTCTTATACACATGTGCAGATAGTCTGACTTGCAATAAAATATTTTACTACAGACTGGAGGCCAAGGCACGTCTCATGCAGAGGAGATTAACTTCACAAAAATAACTCTAAATACTTGCATAAGTATCTGAGTCAATTTAAATTGCAATGCTATCATTTCATCTTTCAGTTTTTGTAAAATAAACAAGGGAAATAGCACAAATTTAACCTAGATGATATTAGGAAAGCATGTATATTGATCATATTTAAATCAGTAGAGTTTAATTTTATACAATTATTATACCAGAGCTAACATTTATTACAAAGTAATGGTTATATAGTATTCACATAAAGCAGGTATTATTGTCCTGATTTTACAGAGAAATCTGAGATAAAATAAATTACCCACATATACAATTACATGTATGAATCAGTCTGTGTTCTTAAACACTCTGCATGTTATTATTCCTATAATTTGCTTTTATAATTAGAACATTTTAATTAGCATGTTATCCAAATAAATTATAACATTCAATGACTACTTGTTGCTCTAGCTTCCAATTGTACCAATATTACTGTCTCACCAAGGCAAAAGATATGCTAACTCACTCAACCAGCAATGGGACAGTAATAAATAAAAAATTCAACCCTAAGTGACTAGAATCTAGCTCTTTACATATTTCAAAAACTTTGTGTATCACTGAAAAATAATTTACTTGTAGGGTTAGTAAGCTTCAAGAAAATAAAGGAATTCAAAACATCACCTGGCAACAAAGCTAGCCCGTTTTTGTTTATTAGCATCACCTTGTTTTTATGGGAAACAGAATTATTAGTATGTTCCTTCACATGTGTTTATTTAATAAACTTTACCTTATCACATTTTCTTAGAGAAAATATTTTGCTGACTGAGTAAAAATAAAATGATTGTCATGCCTATAGGAACTATAGGGAGTCCAAGAAATTCTAGGGCTCCATTTCTGTTTACCAATGACCACCAAACTGATCCTGATAACGACAGCAACTCTTTCACTGATCAAAAATTTTAATGGAAATGGAATATTCTTTTCTGAAAAATTTATGTCAAAATGCCAGGTTATACAACTCAAAGATGGCAATATTGGAATCTTGTGCTGTTCAGAAGTTTTGAGTGATTAACTGACATAGAATAAGAAAATAAATGCTACTTAATCAAGCAATTTGATTAACAAAATCTATAAGAACAGGTGGGCCAGAGGGAAAAAACTGCAGAAATCACATCCTTGATAGTAAAAAGGAAAAGAATATAAATTGTTATAGCTGACTTTGTAAAGCAATTTGGCAGCATCCATGAAGACTGAAAATATGACTCAATACAGGCTCATCTCATTTTACTGTGCTTTGCAGACATTGTATTTTTTACAAATTGAAGGCCTGTGGCAATCCTGTGTCCAGTAAGTCTGTCGGTGCCATTTTTCCAACAGCATTTGCTCACTTTGTGTCTCTGTGTCACAATTTGGTAATTCTTGCAATATTTCAAACTTTTTAACTATTATTATATTTGTTATGGTGATGTGTGATCAGTGATCTTTGATAATACTATTGTAACTGTTTTGGGGGCGTTACAAACCACACTCAGATAAGACCGCAAACTTGATCGATACATGTTGTGTATGTTCTGACTGCCCCATCGACAGGCTGTCCCCCGTCTCTCTCCCTCTCCTTGGGCCTCCCTATTCCCTGAGACACAACATTGAAATTAAGCCAATTACTAACCCTATAATGGCCTCTAAGTGCTCAAGTGAAAGGAAGAGTCACACATCTATCAGTTTAAATCAAAACCTAGAAATGATTAAGCTTAGTGAGGAAGGCATATTGACAGCCAAGAGGAGCCAAAAGCTCGGCCTCTTGCACCAATTAGCCAAGTTGTGAATATAAAGGAAAAGTTCTTGAAGAAAATAAAAGGTGCTATTCCAGTGAACGTATGAATGATAAGAAAGCAAAACAGCCTTATTGCTGACATGGAGAAAGTTTTAGAGACCCGAATAGAATTGATCAAACCTGCCACAACATTCCCTAAGCCAAAGCCTAATCCAGAGCAAGGCCCTAACTCTTTTCAATTCTGTGAAGGCTAAGAGAGGGGAGGAAGCTGCAGAAGAAAAGTCTGAAGCCAGAAGAGGTTGGTTCACGAGGTTTAAGGAAAAAAGTCATCTCTATAACATGAAAGTGCAGGTGAAGCAGCAAGTGCTGATGCAGAAGCTGCAGCAAGTTACCCAGAATATCTGGCTAAGATCGTTAAGGAAGGTGCTACACTAAACAGCAGATTTTCAATGTAGATGAAACAGCCTTCTATTGGAAGAAGATGCCATCTTGGACTTTCACAGCTAGAGAGAAGTCAGCGCCTGGCTTCAAAGCTTCAAAGGACAGGCTGACAATTTTGGCAGAGGCTAATGCAGCTGGCAACTTCAAGTTGAAGCCAATGCTCATTTACCATTCCGAAAATCCTAGGGCCCTTAAGAATTATGCTAAATCTACTCTGCCTGTGCTCTATCAACAGAACAACACAGCCTGGATGACAGCACATCTGTTTACAACATGGTTTACCGAATATTTTAAGCCCACCGTTGAGACCTACTATTCAGAAAAAACAGATTCCTTTTAAAATATGACTGTTCATTGACAATACACCTGGTTACCCAAGAGGTCTGATGGAGATGTACAATGAGATAAACGTTGTTTTCATGCCTGCTACCGCATTTGTTTTGAAGCCCATGGATCAAGGAGTTATTCTGACTTTCAAGTCTTATTATTTAAGAAAAACATTTTGTAAGGCTATAGCTTGCCATAGACAGTGTTTCCGCTGATGGATCTGGACAAAGTAAACTGAAAACTTTCTGGAAAGAATTCACCATTCTAGATGCCATTAAGAATATCTATCTATCATTCATGGGAAGAGTTCAAAATATCAACATTAACAAAAGTTTGGAAGAAGCTGATTCCAACCCTCATGGATGACTTTGAGGGGTTCAAGACTTCAGTGGAGGAAGTAACTGCAGATGTGGTGGAAACAGCAAGAGAACTAGAATTAGAAGTGCAGTCTGAAGATGTGACTGCATTGCTGCAATCTCATGATAAAACCTTAAGGGATGAAGAGTCGATTCTTATGGATAAACAAAGTGGTTTCTTGAGATGGAAGCTACTCCTGGTGAAAATGCTGTGAAGATTGTTGAAATGACAAGAAAGGATTTAGAATATCACATAACCTCAGTTGATTAAGCAGTGGCAGGGTTTGAGAGAACTGACTCTAATTTTGAAAGAACGTTCTATTGTGGGTAAAATGCTATCAAACAGCATCACATGCTACAGAGAAATTGTTCGTGAAAGGAAGAGTCAATCAACGCAACAAACTTCATTGTTGTCTTATTTTAAGCAATTACCACAACTACCCTAACCTTCAGCAACCATCACCCTGATCAGTCAGCAATCATCAACACTGAGGCAAAAAGATTACCACTCACTGAAGGCGTCGATGATGGTTGGCATTTTTTGGCAAAAAGGCATTTTTTAACTAAGGTATGTACATTGTTTTTTTAGACATAATGCCATTGCACACTTAAGAGAGTACAGAATAGCATAAACATAACTTTTATATGCGCTGGGAAGTCAAAACTTTGTGTGACTCACTTTATTGTGAAATTTGCTTTATTGTGGTAGTCTAGAACAGAACTTCCAGTATCTCCAAGGTATATCTGTAATTCAACTTTTAAGTATTATCTATTAGATAATCTCTTGCACAGACACACAAGGAGGCAATTACACAAATGAGGGCTGTGGCATTACTTGCAACAACAAAAAATTAGCAATAAGGAAATTTTTATCAGAAGGGAAATGGATGTATTTAATGAATACTATACAGCAACTAAAGGGATAAGTTATGTAGACAGATAAAGATCCAGACAGATACGAAGAAATCTCAAAAATATAATCTTCCAGTGAAAAAAAGTAAGTTGCATAACAACTTCTAGGGTATAAAAATAAAAACACAAAACAATCTTGTAATTACTTTATATTACTTCTGAATATACAGTAAGATAGGAGTATAAAAATAGATTAAAAGATTATAGAAAAAACTCATGACAGTAATTGCCTTTGGGAAGAAAGGAAAGAGAAGCAGATTAGGGCTCGTGGTTGAAGACGACAATGTTTTAATTTTACTAAAAAAAAAATTTAAAGCATATATCACTAAATGTCAACAGCTATTAAGTCTTGGTAGTTCGAATATGAATGTTTATTATTTTATACTTTTCTGTACCTTTAAAATTTCTCAAAACAAAGCAGATTTCCCCACATCTCCTCAGGAAAGTATCCTGATTCGGTCCCAACTTTCTAAAACTTTACTATTTCTTAGGGCATGTTTGGGATCCTGCTAGAAACAGCTTCCCAGTCTTTTGGGCTTCAGAAAGCAGCAGAAGTATTCTTGAATTGCTGGGAACCCATTTATACCCTATCTGCACTATCCTAAGGGAGCCTCAGGAGACTCTTCATCTTCGTAAAACCTGAAAGCACGGGTCAGCAAAAAGCAGAGGTGAACAAGAGCCTCCCGGTAATCAGAGAACAAGAACTCACAGCTATACCTAAGATTCTAATGCTCACTGAAAGGTAATTTACTGGCTTGGCAGGTGTCCAAACAAGTAGCAAATCAGTCTGAAAAGTTTCAAAATTAAAGCCTGATCTCATTTTACACTACATCAAAATTCATTGAGAATCCCTTTAACCTTCAAATTTTACCTGTTTCAGCTTCTGACTCTGAGTCATCTTCCTCATCTTCTTCACTAGAGCAGCTAGATTCATCTTTCTTTCCTTCTTCTTCATCATCAACCTTTTCTTGTTCCAGAGATTCAATACGGGATGCATTTTTCTCTGACTCAATAATCAATGTCTCTTTGCTGTGAAAGGAAAAGAGCTTTCAAATGATTACAAACACCAAATGTCAAAACACATTAATTTTTCCCAGATCCACAAAACCCAATAATCATGTCTGTGGCCATCATGCCAACCCATTTCATAACAAAACAAAACTTACTTTAATATTTTACTTACTTTTTAAAGGTCTTCTGTGACTGATTATTCTCCATATTGGCTGTTGATTCAATGAGTGGAGATTTCTTCTCTCGTTTTTCACTATGGAGCTTTATAAAAGTTATGCAAAAGAAAATAAGAATACTATTAAAATAATAATAATGAGTAAAATACAGAATTTAAAATAATTAACAAAGCAGTTTTCAGAACAATAAACAAAAACAAAACAAAACAGAAGATTTTTTACCTGAAAAGGGCTTGGATAAAGAATAAAGAGGACTAGACAGATAAAAAGCACCATGAAGGACTAAGATGGATTTTTTTAGATCCCTCCAACTTCAGTTCACTGAAAAAGTCAGGGTCCAATAACCACTCAGGATGTCTGATGATATTTTACTTAAATACCTATTTCCTAGTTACGTAATTCCTTGCTTATCTAGGACCTGCTATTTTAGAAATCTGAGATTTTATAGTCTTTACCTTCTAAGCAAATTTTCTTATGAAATTACAAAAGCATGTTATTCTTGAGAACATATGCATTACAGAGGCATTCACTTTGTGAAGGGGAGGTTAGAGAAATAAGGATAAGCAATAAAAAAGGCTAAAAACCACCACTACTCCTTTATTCTGTTTTACTGTCATTTAGCTTGATTGCCAGGAATAACTTAAAACCAAAAAGTACAAAACATTTTAAGAACACTTTTTCAACTGTCTGAAATTCACAGTTAGACAGTCTTCAAACATACCAGATTTTGTTTCTTTTGCAATTCTTCTAAATATCCTAAAATGTCTTCATCTGCCACATCAAAGGCTGTCTGGCCCTAGGTAGGAAACAAGCAGGGTGGTGATGGTGAAAAAAAAAAAAAAAAAAAAATATATATATATATATATATCTCAATTAATTATAAAATGCCTTTGGTGATTCTGTACAAATATATACAGAGAAGCCAGATAACATTTTTTATGGTAGTTAAAAAACATAATACACATGACTTGACGAGATGTATGAGAAATCCACAGGAGAGAGAAGCAGCTGATACATCTGCCTTTACTTTTTTGGCAACAGGTTTATTGAGACATAATTCACATACCATACAAATCACCCATTTAAAGTGTACAATTCAATGGTTTTTAGTGTATTCACAGAGTTTCACAACCATGAGCAGAGTCAATTTTAGAACAGTTTCATCACCCCAAAAGAAACGACATACCCATTAGCAGTCACCTCTCCTACTTTTCTCCCCCGCTCCCGGCAGCCCAAGGCAATCACTAATCTACTTTCTGATATGATAGATTTGCCTATTCTGGACATTTCATATAAATGGAATCATACAAACTGTGGTCCTTTGTGACTGGCTTCTTCCACTTTTCGTAATGTTTTCAAGGTTCATCCATGTTGTAGCATGCATTCCTTTTTATTGCTCAGTAATATTCCATTGCATGACACACTACACTTTGCTATCTGTTCATCAGCTGATGGACATTTGCTTTTGCTTTCTGCTTTTTGGCTATATATAATGAATAACACTGCTATGAACATTCATGCAAAAACTTGTGTGGACATCTATTTTCATTTTGTTGGGGATACAGCTATGAGTGGAATTACTGGGTCATGTGGTAACTCCATATTTAACCTTTTAAGGTCTTATTTCTTTTTGATACCTCCCTAAAAATTAATTAAGTTCTTAGTAGAGTAATAAAGTCAAAATATATATGTCTAAACTGCTTAAAGCTCAGCCAGCCACAGGTATTACTTAGTTTCAAAAAACAGTCCAGATGAACATCTCTCAATGCATTTTTATTCAACATACAAAAGAAAATTTCAAAGAGCTCTTAACTAAACATAGTAATGATTGTTCCTGTTGCCTTCATTAGTCTTTATAATAACAATACTGGTACACAACGCCAAAAAGTTCATTATTTACAATATATTCTACCTTATATGTTAGCCAGAGTTATGATCCTTTCTCAGAAAAAATCCAACTTTTTTCAACTAGAAAATATACCATTCTGAAAATCCAAATTTCTTTCATAATAGGAGTCTTAGATCCAGAAACAAAGTCAGATGGATAGATAATAATGACTTCTAAAATCATAAAAATTCTTCCATTTAAAAACAAAGCACAACCCTCAATTCTATACCAACACTAGGATATTGACATCTCCTTGGAAAGGAGTTACATTTCTGAAATATAAGCTATCCAGTATCTGAGCTAGTTTTTCCATTGTCTATGTATAAAATAAAAGCTATGGTTTATGAACTGTAAATTAAAAGAACACAGGGGCCAGCCTGGTGTTTACAGGTTCAGATTCTGGGCAGAGACCTACATATGCACTGTTCATCAAGCCGTGCTGTGGCAGCATCCCACATACAAAAAACAGAGCAAGACTGTCACAGATGTTAGCTCAGCAACACTCTTCCTCAAGCAAAAAAGAGGAAGTTTGTCAACAGATGTTAGCTCTGGGCCAGTCTTCCTCAACAAAACAAAACAAAACAAAACACAAACCACGGTACATAAAATGCAGCTTTATCAAGCTAGGGGAATGTGTGAATTTAAAATTTACAAGATTCAAAAAAGCTTTTATATCTGCCTTTTCTTGTTAGAAAGTCTTCTCAGTATGAATTTAAGAGGCAATCTATCCTTCCCCATTCAGGTCAAGAGAAAAAGTTTCAGCTTTAAGAAACCTTTTTTCCCATTTCAACCTTGACTATTGAATGCTAAGAATTAAATTCCTGAAGAATAAATGGCTCTGAAACAAAATAACTGGCCCCCAATTTGAAAATGCCCTTTAGATTAGCAATACATATTACTCTTTGTTTTGCCATTATCATACTCTTTGTATAATTAGTTCTACAATGTTACATGTTACACATGCTATGCCTGTTAAACAAACCGTGTTGAAGATCATGTGGAAACAACTCACTGGCTTCTTTTTAAGTATTATTTTTAGCATTAATCAACCCTTCTCATGAATGAAATACTACACCTTGAAATATTTTTTTTGAATTGTAATTAATTTTAGCAGTAGTTAAATGCAATGAGGTTGTTTCATAACCAAGGAATTTTCCTTTATAAGAATAAAAAAATTGGATCACCTTACTAACCTTTCTTTTCACTTCTCCCTTGATAAATGAGTCTACTTTGCAAACAGCAGCTGATAGAGAATAAAAACTAGAGTAAAATGTAGGCTATACACAGAGCAAAGTTTCTAATTTCAAAAAAGCAATCCCATCATCTTAACTCAGTAACTCACCCATGCTCTTTAAACAATCTATAGGATGGCGATGAAGCTAACCAATTGTAAATTTATGAACATTACCTGATTCTTAACAACTCGAAGGCTATTAAGCTTCACTAAGGGGGTACAAACACAGTAAGGCATATAAGCAGAGTAACTCAAAGCAACCAGGGAACACCTGAGGACACAATGTTGACAGATGAGAAAATAAGAACTCTATCAAAAAAGAAAAAGACTACTGCTTAAAAACACCAGTTCAGTGTATCTGTGAATTACCAGAGCCACACTAGAGTCATTAAGGATAACTTCATAGTCTCCTCCTTCTTCTTTCCTCACTTACTCTAACTGAACTGCTTTTACAGGTATGATCTCTCTTCATCTTCACAACAACCAGTGAAGCAGTCGGGACAAACATTATTATGATTCACACTGTGCACATGAGAAAACCCAGCTCTGAGTGTATGGTATTTGCCCAGAGTCACACAGGTAATGATGGGAAAATGGGAATAGAATCTAGGCCTCCACCGTTCCATTGTCTTATAGAAAAGAAGAATAAGCTCAGATAGCATCAGGGGGAGAAAAACCCCTTGGGCACATCAACAGCAGCAGAAATCTTATTATTCATTTAAATATTTAAGTAAATACTAAATTCATTTAATGACAGCCGTCAAGCTAAAAAGTTGTTTACTAATCACTGTAGTACTGCATTAAGAGTAAATTCCAATTAGAAAAATATCTTAGTTAATATTTAAAAATGGACTATATTTGGGTACACTCTAGTAAAACAATTATTTTAATAAATTAAGCAAAATAAAAATCCTTATATTTAAAGTCTGTATCATGTAATTTATAATAATGAATTAAAATGATAGCAAATGTTTTACAGTTTGCAAATAAGTTAAAGAAACTCTAAAAAACTCTAAATATAAAACTCTAAAAAAATCTCTAAATATTTATTTTCAGAACACTTTCCCCACTCACGTAGAAAGACTTCCAAGTTTTCTATGATATCATTTGTTGCATTTTCTATATTATACATTTCCCCAAATTACATTTTCCATTAGTAAAGAATTCATCTAAACTCTGAAGGTATCTTAAGTACATTTCTTTGATACTTTTAAAAGAAGTTTAATAAAAATCTTCAATCTGTAAGTAATGAAGACAGTATCAAATGAGAGGATAAATTCATATAGGCAGGTTTAAACAATTAAGACTAATTTGTTTTGGAACATGAAGTATGACATATTATTTTAAAATACAGCCAATGAAAACAAACAGTGAGACAGTCTAACTCATACAGGCAAAATTATTAAAATTTTAAAAATTAAGAGATAAGTCTTATAAGAATATCTTCCATTACTACAGAATACAGTTCTCAAAAAAAGCTTGTTTGGGGGTATATTTAGGGCACAAAGGCCTTTAGAATGATATACACATTATGTAGCTCCTCACTATTAAAATATCTTTAAAATCTTGATAATTTTAAAAAAAGATCATATTTTGACAAAAATTTTAAAATGATATTTTTACAACTTATGAGTTAATATCTGGAAAAATAAAACAAACAAGAAACCAAAAACTACGAAAAGTTGCAGAGGAACTTAGCAGAATAAAAAGAAACAATTATTATGGCTTTAGGAAAATTACTCGACTTCTCTGATCATGTTCCCAAATCTGCAAAACTCAGACAACAACTTTATAGGGTTGTTAAAAGGATAGCAGTAGACAATATGTGGGAAAACAAGTTGAAAACTCTAAAATTTTAAGGAATTATGAGGCACAATTCTTTTAAGATCAGATAAAGATGCAGTGAAATGCTGAAATGAGGGAATAAGACATTAAAATTTAGGGTGATACAAGGAACTGCTACTATACTAATACGGAAACAAAGGTAGATAAAGCAAAATGATTTTATAGGTAGTCTTCCTCCTACAGCATAATTATGATGAATTGTATGGCATAGGAATTGAACAATTATAGAACAGATGCAAGATAAAATAGTTTTTTCTCATACATACTATATATTGTGTATGTTTCACCAGCATAACATAACATGCTTAAACTAGAAAGTGATATAATCTTTTTGGAAAACCATCTCAATTAAAAGTTCCTCTCTTCTGGTCCTTATCTGGAGGCCACTATCACCGAATGAACCAACCAGCACGGCCCATGTCAGCAGACAAGCAGCCGTTAGGGCGGCACTATTGGGAGAAAGACAGGAATGCAGAACAGAGATCAGGAGATAACAGGTCTACAAATTTCTTCAGAAAAATCCCAACTGCTGGGAAAATTTCTACATGAAAGGAGAGGAAAGATGACTTGTCAAGCTAAAATTAGCTGGCCTTTTTATTTAAAATTAAATAGTATCAACATTTGTCTTCTAATGCTGATTACAAAACAGAATACTATTATAATAAAAAACAACAGAAAGCACATTATCAAAAGTTTTCACTAAAATTTAGATTGAAGACTTTTGTACTTATATATAAGAGCATCTGTATACTTAGAGACGGATCATTTTTATATTGACTTTCCTGAAGATTTTCACCACCTCCCACAATTTCCTTCCCTGAACATTTCTTATATAAAATACATTCATAAATATATATACAAAATATTCCAGAAAGAAGAAAGGAGTTCTTTGGGTTTCTTTCTCTCTTTATGTGAGCAACTAGGACATGAATCTGCACTACTACCCTCAAACGCCAACCACCTACTCGTAGGCAAATCTCAGGCATATGGTATGTCATATTTGCCCTCTTCCCTTTGCACATCCCCAATTAGAAACTGCAGTTACCAGAGTAACCAGCAACACCACCATATTAATGGACACAATAGAATTACATGGTACCATCTGAATAAAGATAAGATCATTTTAGGAACCTCTGGTAAGTAATCCACTATATTATCCTACGAAATGCAATACAGAAGGGATAGTTTATGAAAGTTAAGAGTAATTAAGCTCATTAAAGGAGGCATGTTTTGAGCTCTGCAACTACTGGTAGATAACTTTTATTATCTACCAACATGGAGTGGGAGGGAATTAGTAGAAATACTAGTAGAAAGAACTCATTGATGGTATGTGAAAGGGAGCAGAGGAGAAAAGTCTAATCTAATAAGGAATTTGATAACCTGAATCTGCTCATGATTTTCTGAAAAACACTTATATGACATTCGCTCCCTCCTTCCTCTACATAATTGGGTGATTTTAAATAAATCACCTACCTCACTAAACTGTCTTCTCATCTGCAAAACTAGGAGATTAGATGTTGTTGCATCTCATTGATTTTATCTGGCATAAAACTTTACGGTTTTCACAATTCTCACCTGCTATTAAGACCGCACTATCCACATCACTTAAAAAACTACTATAAGCATACAAATAAGACTGTCAGCTAAAGAGAATTAGAAACGCTTCTATCTATGTTCCAATTCATAAATATAGTGATGGGAGAAAACATACACATAGAAATGCAAAATTTTCTTACTTTATGAATTCCTAAGTACATAATATCTATGGAAGTACCCCAATCTATTCTATATGGATGTTAATTTGATTACTGAAAGAGTAATACTTCTTTCTTTGCAGAACAAGGTCAAAATTACCTGGTAGGTAGTTGAAAAAGACAATTAATAATACAAATCAATAAATGATTGAAACAAAATGTTTCATAAAACTTAACATAACTATATCATTTATATTCTTATAACATTTTTTAGGCTAAAACTATATTTCTAAAAGTTAAAATATTTAAAAGGCCTACCACTTTGTTGACCATCTCCATATCACACAGATTGTCCACTAAAATTCGACATGCTTCTTCTTTACCCCAGTGAGCTGCAGCATGAAGAGGTGTCCAGCCATCATAATCTTTAATATTAACATCATAGCCTGCCTGTATTAAAAGTCTAAAGAAATTACAGTGAATTAGATAATCATTAAAATCTAGAAATGAACAAACATAACCAACAGCTTTATACCCTATGAGTTAACAAAAACTTACATTTCTTTTCATAGTTCATATCCCCCTCCCTGCCCCACCCAATGAATTAACCAGGGCAAAAGAAGGTGAATTCCTAGAAAGCACTGGTATAGAGGATCTTGAGTTACTACCATAATAATGCATTCAGCTTTAACTAATTCCTAATGACTCTAAGTCTTACAGTTTCATGTGACACTGATTAATTCTTGTTAATATGACTCGTAACTGAAATTTTCACAGTCTTTCAATGTGAGATCAAAAACTACTGGATCAATTTGTATGTTAAAACTGATTTATTGTAGGGAATGTCTTCAGGTGTCCATATGATATCATCTCAGGCTAAATGTGTTCTAAAAATATCCTGGGATCAAACAAGCTTATTTTGTAGTGTTTTTGCTGCCTTGCAATTGAGGAATCAGTTTGGTGAAAGCTTTCGAGAACCTTTACCATGGAAAACTTTCGTAGGAAAATGACAATCTGACTGTTAGGAATAAAGCAAAGCAAAACAAATACTCCAAGGGGTCAAATCTACTTTTCTGTAGCAGTAGACAGCAGATATTCCAATCATCAACAAAGCTAGAAAACAGGGATATATTTTAATAAAATGCAAAGAGTTGCATAAATTATGTTAGTATGCCCTTCTGACTGTATACGGACATCAACCTTTATTTTATCTAGAAATTAAGCTCACAGAGAGCAAAGAATGGGTCTATAAATTGCACACAGCACAGCCCCTCCCCCAACACACACAGGCGAACACTAAATATTTCACAGCTCATGAAATCTAGTTGACCTTTACCTTACTTTCCAAGACGTCGAGCTTGAGAAGGGCTTCTTTCTACCTACAGGAGGTGGTAGTGATAGCTAATACACAACCCTTCATTTAGTTATGTTTCAAGAACTGATCTTCTATTTTCCAACAATATCTAAAGAAGCTGTTTCCAATTCTGGTTCCTAAGCAGAACCATCTGAAGAACTTGTAAAAAAAAAAAAAATACCCCAGCTCCACCCGAGTCCCACTGAATTAATCAGCATAATGGGAGACGGGCCCTGCCAATCTATATTTTCAATAAGTCCCCCATATGATTCTCATATCACTGCCTGTCACCTGCCTGCAGAGCAACATTAAGAGCCACTGATCTAAAGAACAGACTAACAGATATAAGTCCAGAGATTTAAGTTAAAAAAATATGTCCATTAACATAGACATTTTCAGAAACTGTATTAATAGAGAGAGAAATCATACTGGAATATATGATAATAAAAATATATCCCCTATTAGGAAATATGAACTATAATAATGTTAAATATCCTGAGTGACATACAATTATAAGTACTTGGGATTCTGTGTGGAGAGGAAGGTAGATACATCTCTTCCTCCCACAAACATTTGGCTCTCTCTGTATAGGCCAGGCCATACAAAGATACTCAAAAAATAAGACAGTACTTATCATATTCTTCTAATGGAAAGACAAAAGTCAAGTAAAACAGCAATCAACCTTCACAGATAGGTTCTGTGATGGAGACACAATGGGAGTCCAGAGCTGAAAAGCATCAAAATCAATTGAAAGGGATTGAGTGTGTTTGGGCAGGGAGGAGTAAGTGGTGAGAAGGCTACAGTAGAAACAGAAGTATTTATCTTTCATTTAATATTTTATTTCCTAAGTAAAATACTCACAAGGTTCAGAACTAAGAATAAATGGCTACATAAGCAAGCCACTCTTCCACTGCTGACCTTTAGCCAACCAACCAGTTTCCCCTCCCCATAGATAACCACACTACTAATTTTGACTGGGTCCTTACAGAGATTTTATGTATGTGTAAGCAAATACAATTTAAAATTTTCTTAAACAAACACAAATGACGCATACGTCTGTCCTTGGTTTTGACACTTAATAATACATCCTCGGGCTCTTTCCATATCTACATATATGCACTGTTTTAATTGCTACAGAGTATTCCAGTGAAAGGATGTATTAGAATTTATTCAACCATTCTCCTATTCCTATTATAAACAATGCCACTAGCACATACCTTATTTCCTATGTGAGTGAGAATATCTGACAAATACATTCCTAGAGGCAGAATTGCTAGGCCAAATAATAATCATTACTTTCACAGAATTTGCACAATTGTCATTTATACTTCCACCAGTAATCAAGAGAGTGCTTTTTCCCAACCTTGCTAACACTGTGCCAAACGTTTTGATTTTGCCAATATGACAGACGGAAAATGGTAATTCACTGTAGCTTTATCTGCACTATTATAAACAAGGTTGAGCATTTTTTTTCCATAGGCTTAAGACCCTTGAAAGAGAGTCAAAGGATTGAAAGGAATTTGCCTTCAAGTTGAAGAAGAGATGGTGAATGAAGGTATCTAGACAGAAACAAGAGTAGGTATTAAGACATCATGATAGAACTTCAAGTAGATATATACAGCTGAAATAATGCAAGCCTCAGGAGCAACGGTAGCAGCTTAGCTTAAAAGAGAGCCCAGGCCAGTGGCCAAAGGACTAAAGGTCTTACATGCTAAGTAATTTTTATCTTGATCCCCAATGAGAATCTTAATGAAGGATTTTAAGAGCCCAGATAACCTAATTACAAAGAGCACTTGGAAGCAGTCTAGAAATCTATTTTATAGTACAATCCAGTACTCATATATATGTTTATAGAAACAAGAGTTTTAAAAAACAATGTTTACATTTACCATATGCAATATTCTTTGATATTTTCAGTTCTTTTAAAAAAATGCTGTTGGCAACTCACTAAGTTCATTTTGTGAAACACTAATGGGGTTTGAAAAGCTTTGCATTAGAGAGAAACAGATGGGGGACAAGTACCCTACTTAAAAGTTAACTGTACTATTCTAGGAGAAAGCTTAAGTTATTGAAGTGAGTAGCGATTGAAAGAGGAGGAAACGGGAATCATCGACCACCTTACACTTCATTGTTTTTACTGAGGAGAGGGAATAAAGAGCACAGACTGACACTGGAAGCCCAGTGGAACCAAAGCAATACAAAGGGTGCAGTAGATTTTGCTAAGGGCCAGTCTGATTTCCTTTCACATACATATAACAAAAGTTATGCACTGAGGTTTTTTTTTCATATAGTTGCCAACAACTTTGCCTTGCATAAGTAAAAAAAAACAAAACAAACATTTATTTTTGACATAAAGGAGCTTTCTTCCAAGGAAATTTGCTGATCAATATATAGCCCTATACAAGTCCAAGTTTCTTATGGTTTGATATTTAATATCACTCTAATGGCACTCTGAGTTCCAGTGTTCATATAGTAAGAAGAAAACTGTATTTTAGATAAATTATGTTCAGTAGGAATCAAACTCTCAGAATCTGATGATATGTTTCTATGTGACATTGTTCTTAGTCTCAGCAACCAGAGTTAACTTATTTGGGGAACCTCAAAATGACTCTGTAATAATTTATTAGCCCAGAAGGTAACATATAATGGTGGTATGACACTCAAATTTAACTTATTAGAAAACTGCAACAGAAGAAAACAACAGTAGAATAACCAAAATTTGAGAGTGAAAGAAAGAACTTTAGAAACAAAGCAATATTCAACGTAGTTTTCTCTTTCTCCCGGTAAATGGACATTAAATAACTTTTATAAGCTGTTTCAAAATAACGTTTGCAGGTATCTTAAGAAAAGGAACAATGAAGTAAAGAAAACAAATCGAAGAAGAAAAATGACTGTGAAGAGCAATACTTACTTTAAAACTTCTGTATAGCCTTTAGCAGCTGCAACGTGCAGGGCTGTCCCTCCAGATTTTGCATGCCGGACATCATTTATGTGACCACTGTTTAGCCATTGTCTTGCATCTCTAAGCATTATTCGTTCTTCTTCCTTTCGAGCTGCTTCTATATCAACCCCTGATAAAATAAAAACGTTTTATTTTTTCTTCATAGAAAATATTCTTTTTATGTTCGGAAATAAAATTATCCAAAACATTTCAAGTTGAAATGAAAATTAGAAGTGAAATTATATTTTTGAAAATAGGCTGCTGTAAGCTGGTTGAATAAAGAAATGTGGAAATACTGCAGATCTTTTACTAGCCTTAACTACTGCTTATTTAATTTTTGACCCACAACATATTTTGGCTTTCTTTTTACCTTTTCTGATTATTCCTTCTGTTTTTTAAAATTTGAATATTCCTCAAGGTATTTCATCCTTTGATTTAAAAAATAAGGTGTTTTTTTTTTTAAAGCAATCAAATGTCATGAAGTCTCAAATTTCTATCCATTGCTTTGACCAGTTCTCTGAACTCTAGCCTAGTAGGTATAAATGTTTACTGAACACTTCAACTTGGAGGTCCTGTCTTCATCTAAAATTTACTATACCTTAAAACAGATTACTTTTCTACCAAATTCCATTTTCTTTTCCAACATAGTACATGGTTCATACCATTAGTATTAGTTTTATAATTTTAACAAGTTAAAGAGATGTTTATTCATTTGAAAGTATTTAAGAAGCAGCATCGCGCTAGGTTGAGATGGTAAGAGCAAGCAGAACTCAAAAAGGAACAAGACACTAGTTCTTCAAAAGAGCTCAACTTCCTGAGAAAAAAATTAACATAGAAAAGATAATCCTGAAATTCCTAAATGATATCATGTTGTCTTATGGCTTCAACTGCTGGATATTTAACAAACAGCACATACCACAATGCATTTACAATCTATCTTACTCCAGAAGACTATGAGCTTATTAAAGGTAAAGATACTGCTTTGCTTTTTTATCTTTCATCTCCACTTTCTGGTTGAGTACCTGACACAAGAAAAAGGGATCAGTAAATGTTCACTAAATGAATGATGGCTGAACATATAAATGAGTAAAAAACAATTATACACACTCATAACTCCTCAGCTAAGATCTCTCCTATAATTCATATCCATGTATCCAACTGTCTCATCAGAATTTTTCATTCATTCATTATGTACTGAGTGCCTCCTGTATGTCAGGTACTTTATTAGATGCTATAGATATAGAGATGAATTTATTATATGGCAGAAGATGATACATCTGTCAAGAAAAATAAAGGGTAAAGGGACAGAGAGTAATGAGAGTTTTTATTTTATATAGGTGGTAAAGATCAGCCTCTTTGGTAAGGTGACATTACAGTAAGAAATAAAGCAAGTGACAGTCATACTATAATCTGGAGAAGATTCCAGGCAAAGGGAAGTACTGGTAAACTGTGAGGCAGAAGCCTGCTTGGAATGTTCTTCTGTTTAGAGGAAGGCCAGGGGGTCTTTACAGCAGTGAAGACAACGAGCAGGGTGACACTACCTGACTTAATTTAAGAGGATCACTTAAGTTGAAAAGTTAAGAAGAGAAACTGAGGTATCAATTTGGAGGTTATAGCAAATAAACCAGGCAAGAGATGATGGTAACCTGAACCAGGATGGTAGTGGCGAAGGTAGTAAAGAGGTTAGATTCTGGGTTCTTCAAGGCACACTAACAAAATTTGCTGTTAGTCTGGATATAGGAGGAATACAGGAGTCAAGGATGAATCAAAGGTTTGTAGTGTGAGCAACTGGAAAAATTAAATTTTCAATTTTGGAAATGTGACAATTGAGATGCCCTAATAGACATCTAATTGGAGATATCAAGTAGTCAATTGGATATCTGAGCCTGGAGAACAGAGAAGTCAAAACTGGGGAAATAACACAATAAAACAATATGCCATGGTCACCTCAAACTCAACACTGAAATCTTACCTCAATTTTCCAGTCAGTCTGCTGACTGCCTGACTTGTTTCCTACACTACTAGGTACCACTACTGACCCAGTCACCTGGAAGTCTAACTTAATCCCTCCCTTTACCTTATCCCTAGCCCCCATCCAATTAATTACCAGATTTTGAGCTGCCATCTCCTAGACGGTCTTCCTGATGGCCCTATTACCATCTCAATTCATGTCTTATAACTCATACCTTGACTACTACTATTGATCCTTAACTCACTTGCCTCAGTCCCTTCCGATTCATTCCTCCCATCACTGCCAGAGTGGTTCTTCTGTATCGAAATATGACCATCTCTCTTTTCTACATAAATTTGTCAATGATTGCTCACTTCCTATAAGACAAAGCTCAAGCTCTTTTGTGTAGCAGACAAAACCTTTTTTGATTTGCTCTCAATGCATTTTTAACCTCTAGTCTTTCTCTTCTATCATCGCCCAATGTTCTAATCATCTAGATCTCCACACAGGTCCCCGAGTGAATCATGTGTCAGTGCCGTCGTGCAAACTATCATCCTCTACCTGGACTCTATCCTTATCTTGTCTGCTTAGCACATAGCTACTTACTCAAGAGACAAGTAAACTGTTAAAGTGAACTCAACTTCTAAAAAGTAGACCATAGCTGAGAAATATTTTTAAAATACCAAAATTACACAAGTACATGAAAAGTCATCTTCAAGTTAGAGACTGTAATATCTCATTACCACATTTGAAAGAAACCTGCAATAAGATTTTCCAGATAGACTTTATAAAAACAATCAATTAAATGCACTATATATATTTAATGAACCAAACCTATTATAATCTTTATTTAAAAAGTATCACCATTTCAGGGCTGGCCCAGTGGCATAGTGGTTAAGTCTGCACGCTCTGCTTCCGTGCCCCGGGGTTTGCGGGTTCAGATCCTGGGCATGCTACACACTGCTCATCAAGCCATGATATGGTGGCATCCCACACACAGAATGGAGATGATTGGCACATATGTTAGCTCAGGATCAATCTTCGTCAAGCAAAAAAGAGGAAGATTGGGGGCAGGCCCGTGGCCTAGTGGTTAAAGTTCCACGCACTCTGCTTCAGAGGCCCAGGTTCGCACAGACAAGACATGGAGGAGGATTGGCGGAGATGTCAGCTCAGGGCTAATCTTTCTCAAACAAACAAACAAAAAAACAGGAAGACTGGCAATGTATGTTAGCTCAGGGTAAATCTTCTTCACCAAAAAAAGAAAAGAAGCATGACTGGCAATAGAATTAGCTCAGGACCAATGTTCAGTCCATCATATTTAAGATGCCTTCTAATGTTATCATAAAAGAAATTATAAAGCTGTAATTAAAATACATTAAGAATAACCTTTTTACTAAATGCTTTTTCTCAGACTGATTTATTTTCTTATGCTTTATTCTTTTATTATGTCTTCTACACACGAACCTCTTTATTATCTTTATCCTTTTTGTCTTCACCATCTTAAACATTCTGACTTTTATTGTCTTGTACTGTTCTAAATTTCCCCTGGTTTTGAAATAAAAAAATACCCACTTCTTATTTCTGGATTTATCTGTGTTCAAGCTATCTTTATCTAATTACAAAGTAATTACCCTCTTTTGCCTCCAAATTGTGCTCTTATATGAATTACACACAAAAACAAAACAACTCAAGCTTAAAATTAAATTATATGTGAAGGGAAATTTCTTATGCTTAAGAAAATCCAATGAGAAAAGAAAAACTCTTCTCTCACTCTTAAAAATTTTTTCTAAATATTACTGACTAGAGTTACAGACCCTGCTCATTATTAGTTCATTAAAAATTTTTTTAAAACCTCACTGTACTACATATTACAATACCTGTTTTCTAATTCCAGTGCATTAATTAGCTAGTAGGCTTGAGAAAGCCATAATTTCTTTGAACATTAGTATATTGGGTTAAGAACACAGATATTACACTTAGACTGCTGGGTTTCAACCCCTGATCTGCCGGTTATGAGCTCTATTATCTGGGGCAAGACACCTAATCTGTGCTACCATTGCTTTTTTATTTGTAAGATGGGGGTAGAAAGTACCTATCCACAGGGTTATTGTGAGAATTAAATTAATATATGTGAAATGCTTAGATCAGGAATAAACACCAAGGTGTTAACTATCATTATCAGCTCTAAAAGTCTTTGACCGGTTTCTCTTTTCTTGCTTTATGGTCTAATAGAAAGAAAATCTTATAATGCATTTAACCAGTCTTAATCCACCTACTATAACTGTCAAGTTTTTAAACAATGAAAACAATAGATATTAAAACTAAATTGAGTATGATATAATAAAGTGATTAGATGAGTTAACATCTGTCACTACTATTGAAAAACAGTAAATTTTAGAATGAAATGTAGCTTAATCTCTTAGGTAAGAAAAGATAAAATTAAATTGGAATTTTGTCGGCTAAGAGATACAAAAATTGACTTGTGTCCGAAACTAAACAAAGAAAATTGCATTAAAATATAAACTGGAAATACTTTTAGCTACTGTTCAGTCATTACCACTTTAAAGGCAATTTACTTAAGCATAACTCAGTATTGATCAAACATATCAGGATAAGAAATGTGTCAAAAGAACGATTAAAGAATTTAAAAATATTAAATAACTTTCATACTAGGATAAACAATCTAAGAAATCTTATCACTACTAGAGATATATTTAGAGTGCTGTTTTTTTAATTATTAAAATCTATGAGAAATGTCCCCATCCTGTTTCTTCGGAATAAAGTTATGCTACATAAATTCATGTATTCCCATTATATGAATAAAATGAACATCATGAACTATTTTCTAGGAGACATTCCTAACAAAATGCAGAATGATACAGTGATGAAGAGAGTGGGCTCAAGATACCTGTCACACTGTTTGAGACTAAACTATACCACTTCCTACCTGTATGGTCATGGGCAAATCACTGGGCCTCAATTTCTCATCTGTGAAATGGGGGTAACAGTAGTATTAACTTTTCAGAACTGCTGTGAGGATGAAATGAGATAATGTACGTAAAGCCCTTTGCTCAACGCCTGGCATATAATCAGCGTTTAATGAAAGTTAGCTACTGTACTAGCTCTTCACTTTTAAGTTCCAAGGTCATCTCATCTATTATTTCCAAGAATTCTCCTTATCTATTTATTATTCTCCCAGATTTACATTTTCCATCCTGACATCTCCTAAGTTCCAACAGTGCACCAAACGCTGTCATCTAGATGTCCTTTAGCTGCCACAAACTCAACGTATCCCAAAACAAACTCACGTACTCCCTATATCTGTTTCTGCTTCATGCCCTATTTTCCCATATGAATCCATCCAATCATCACTTCTTAGAATGCAAACTTCAGGAGGCAGATGAGTTGGCTTTAACTCTTCCTTCATCTCCAGATTCAATTCTTCACCAAAATGCTTTAACTTTATCTTAGTACTTCCTCAAGACAGTCCTGCTCTTTTCCATCTTAAATGTAATCCTTTTGGTCCTTAGCATCTTTTAAGAGCTTTCTTCAAGGAAAGCATGCCACTATGCATTCCCCATGCTAATTCATCCTCCAATCTGCCATTAGCTTTATTACTAAAAACCAAATCCAATCAGGTTAATTTCCTGCTTGGAGATCTTCGTCGCATCTGTCCAATGCCTACAAAATAGATGTCCTTCACCATCTGGCTCCAGCCTCATCTTTTCAGGCCTCACCTCCTACTCCTACTAATTCCATCCTGACTTTCCCTCTTCATTCCAATTCTAATGAATTCTCTGCATATGTTATGTCTCCAATTCCTTTTCTTTGCACATGTTGATACCCCTGCCTGACATGCCTTTTCTATCTACTACCTCCTTCTCTGCCAAGCAAACTCCCTCTCAAATGTCATCACTCTGAAACCTTTCCTGACTATTGAAAGCAGTTAGTCATAGCCTTTTCTGTTCTCCCCCAACATTCTGTTCCTATCTATATTTTAGCACACTGCACTGTGAAGCTGTTTATATATCTGCCACTTCCACTACACTGTGAAATCCCTAAGAACAAAGACTGTCTTATTCTTTTTTCCCCCTAATATCCAGCACTCAGAACATTTGTTGGCACATTAATCAATACTGAAGGAATCATTACAATTAAAATCAGCCTTGCTAACAATTTCCTTTATAGGGAAACCAAAGGCAAGAAGTTTCAGTACATCTCCATGCCTTTCCTAGTTCATAATAATTGCTAACTAATATTGGACAGCATAAAAAGATTTATTTTGACAGGAAACAGCTATCTACCTGGGTGCTCATCAGGGCAAGATGAGCAGATAAGGTACTCTTCTTTCTAGGCTGTGATGCTTTATATCTATTCTTTCTGTTTCCTCAAGTCTTGAGGATCCCATTACCCCAAAATGCCTGCTTAGAACATAGTTGTTAAAAGCTCTTCTAAGTACTTATCCAAGCTCCAGTTTATAACTACTTTTCTAAAGTGTGCCCTGTTTCTTCCAAGCTCCAGGTACCTTCAACCATTTGTTACAATGCCTCAATTCTATTTAGGCATTTAAATATTTTCTCAGTTTCAGTGCCTAAGATATTTTTTAACAACTGAGTAGTCATTATAAATTTTCCTAATCCCAAGGAATAAAACTCTCTTTTCAAGGCACTGACTTAGCTTCTATTCCTTTACTTCTATTTCCCAATGAACCACACTTCGGCAGGAGTCAACCCTCTAAATCAATATCCCATACCTTTCCTTTATCACTTAACCTTAGAAAAAAACAGTTTTCTTCTGATAATACACATTTAATCACTGCCTAAACATAATGGAATATAGTGGAAATACATATTGTAATTTTATTTATATATTTAAAAATTTTTAACTGTAAGTAAAATACATATAACAAAAAATTTACCATCTTAACCATTTTTATTTATTTTTATTTTTATTTTTTTTCTTCTTCTCCCCAAAGCCCCCTGTATATAGTTGTATATTCTAGTTGTAGGTTCTTCTGGTTGTGCTATGTGGGACACCACCTCAGCATTGCCTGATGAGCGGTGCCCTGTCCACATCCATGATCCGAACCAGCGAAATCCCGGGAAGCTGAAGTGGAGCGAATGAACTTAACCGCTCATCCATGGGGCCGGCCCCTTATCTTAACCATTTTTAAGTACACAGTTCAGTAGTGTTACGCACATTTACACTGTTGTACAACCAATCTTCAGAACTCTTTTCATCCTGCAAAACTGAAACGTCATACCCGTTAAACAACAAATCCCCATCCCCACCTCCTGACAATCGTCATTCCACTTTCTGCCTCTAAGAATGTGACTACATGAGGTACCTTATCTAAGTGGAATCATATAGTATTTGTCTCTTTGTGACTGGCTTATTTCACTTAGCATAATGTCCTTAAGGTTCACCTACGCTGTAGCATGTGTCAGAATTTCGTTCTTAACGCTGAATAGCATTCCATTGTTTGTATATTACACGTTTTGTTTATCCATTCATCTGTTGATGGACACTTGGTTTACTTCCATCTTTTGGTTATTATGAACAATGCAGTTATAAACATGGGTGTAAAATATCTCTTTGAAATCTTCCTTCTAATTCTTTGGGTATATACCCAAAAGAGGAGTCACTGTATTAATTTTTTTACGTGTGTATTTTTAAAATAACAGCTTTATTAAGATATAATTCACGTACCATTTAAAGCATATAATTCAGTAGTTTTAGGTAAATTCGCAGAGTTGTATAACCATTACCACAATCAGTTTTAGAACACTCATCACTTCTAAAAGAAACTCCACCTATAAGCAATCACTCATCTATAAATTAACATCCCCCAAACTTCTATCTCCAGCCTGAACCTCTCTCTCCTCACATATTCAAATGCTTGGATATCTAACAGGCAAACTTAACACATCTGAAAATGAATCTCTGAACTTTCCTTATAAAATCTACTTTTCCCACAATATTCACATCTCAAATAGAAACTTCATCCATCCAGTTGCTCAAACCAAAAACCTTAGAATCTGCCCTGCCACCTTCTTTCCTGCATACCTTAATCTAATTTTCTTGGCCAAATCTTCAAAATGTATCTAAAATCCAACCTCTTCAGATCATTTTGTCTATAACAACCTACTTCTGCCCTTACCTTCCTACAATCTATTCTAAATACAACAGCCACAAAGATCCTTTCTAAAGTAAGTCAGATTATGTCACTCCTCTACCTCAATTCTATTTCACTTCCTATTTCACCCAGAAGAAAAGCCAAAGTCCTTCCAATGGCCCACAAGGCCTCATGTGATATGGCCACTTCTGAGACCTCATCTTCTTCTAGCCTCACCTCTTCCTTGTTCTGCCTGCTCCAGTTACACCAGTCTACATGCTGCCCTCTCTGAACACACCAGGCACCCTCTCATCCTTGCACTCAATGCTCTTGCTCTGTCTAGAATGTTCTTGCCCCAAATCTGTATGATTCATTCCTTCACCTCAGTCAGATCTTAACTTAAATACCACCTTATCGGTGAGGACTTCTTGACCACTCTATTTAAATTCGCAATGTGTAACATTCACCCTGTGCACTTCCTATCCCCTTTGCCTGTTTTATTTCTCTCCAAAGCTCTTATTACCATATAATTTTATGCCTGATCCTACTGCTTATGATACTTCTTTCAACTTTAAAAACATTAAAAAGAAGTAGAGGTGAGAATCATATTTTTTCAAACAGAATCATACTGTACATAATGTTAGGAAAGCTGATTTTTTTCCCCACTCAAATTATGATTGTCCTTCATTGTCAACAATTATTTTCTTGAAAAAGTCAAGTATCATATTCTTTCTAAAACAGTTTTAAACTTTTTCTCCATTTAGGTTGCTTTCACATTACCTTGCCGATTAACTTCATTTTGAAGTAGCTCTTCCATTGCCTCCTCCTCAGCAATATCTAAAGGTGTGTCTCCTTCACTGTTGACAGCTCCTACGTGTGCTCCTTGACCAATCAAAAACCTGTAAAATAAAAGGGAAGACAGTTAAGCAATGATAGTATCATTGAGATAAGACTAAATGCATAGCCAACGAGGAAAACTCCTATGTAAGAACAACAATAAAAACCAAGGATAGTATCTGCATTATTTAAGCTTTAATAAACTACCATAGAGCATGTTTTCTTTTCTTTTTTAAATTTATATTTCCTAGTTTTTCTATAATGTACACACACTGCTTTACTAACAAAAAATGCTAATTTTTAATAATAATCAGAAAGTCTTTCATAGGATCATTTCAGATATCTCCACTAAGATTTTTCATTCTCTCCTTATTGACTGGTTTCCTCACTGATCTCCACGCTCCCAGTCTCCTGCCACAAACAACTGTTTTTAACCTGGGGTACATGGACAGAATTAGAAGACCATACAACCGATGCAGATATCTTAAAATACTGTTTACGTTCATACCTATTTTGAAATTAATTATTAGACCAACCACTAGGTCTTTTTATTTAATGTGTAACTACAGAAGCACATATATAACTATATCACAAATGTGTTTTGCTAATATTTTGATAACTGAAATCCAATATAATTAGGTTTTCATTGTACTTTGTACTTTATTTTATGCATCCAAAACACAATCCTCAGAAAGTATCCACAGGCTTCATCAAACCTGCCAAAGGGATCCAGATACAAAAAGGTTACAAGTCTCTTTCATTGAGTCAATTGCACATCTCCCAGAATCACCTATTTAACATGACTGGAGTCAATTCCCAACTTAAAAACCTCTGAATGGTTATACCACGCTAGGAAAACATATACGTGGCCCTCAATGATCTGGTTTTGTCTTCTTTTTCAGCCTTATTCCTTTTCCTTCCTATATCACACTTTAGGCTCCAACGACATGGAACTGCTTGTAGTTCCAGATTAAACCATGTTCTTTACTTTTTTCTATGTAAAGAATGGGTCTTTTTTCCTCTATGCCCCCTAATCAACTTAACTCTTAGTCATATTTCTTCTTTTTACAGACTACATAAAAATATTCTCATTATAAAAACAGGAAGAAAAAAAGAAAAAAGTCCACTGAGTTTAAAAAAGAAGAAAGAACCCCTTTATACAGCTCCTTCTACTATCATGTTCCCCCCCCAGAGATAAACACTATCAACAGTACGGCAAATATCTTTCCAGTACCTTTGCTATGAATTTATGTGGGTGTATATTAACATATATACACAGTCACTTTTGAAGTTCTTCCTGTAAAATAAAAATTAATAGGACTATTCTAAATGCCCTGGAATGCAACACTTCCTTTTTAATAGCCGAAAGATATTCCACAGTATGGCTAGATCATACTTTAATACCATCCTCCTAAAGGACATGTTCTTGAATGGACACTTGATGTTATCTAATCTTTAAAAATCTTCCCAAAACGATGGGGATAAAACATCTTATCATTGTTTTATTTCCTGATTACACATGAAGTTGAAAATACACGGAATACGTTTACTGGTATTTGCATTTTCTCCTTTTGTGGACTTCTTATTTACATCTTTTGCTTGTATTTCTAATGTGTTCATTAATTCAACAAACACTTATGGCCAGTTAAAGAGCTACTCAGTCATACAGAAAACTTATGTTGGAAGCTGGACTCTGAGGGAGGATTTGGATGAATTCCTAGGAGATATCTAGGAGGTACTGGTAGATCAACTGGATATGAAAAGTGAGGGCAAGGAAGGTGTCGAGGACAAAGTGAATTCTTGACTTCTATGATTTGACATATGGATGGTTGTACTAATTATTGATACACACAAAACTAAGTTATTCCCTACAACCACTAATAGGTGTGTAGCAAATATTTTTTCCATGCTGTCACTGCACTAAAAAAAAAAACTTTTCTCACAGTATTGTGTATTTTACTAAAGTTTAAAGGTTGTATGAAGCCAGTTGGTTCATCTTTTGCTTTAAGAAAGGCTTTACCATCTAGTTATACGTATCTATGTGGAGATGTAACTTTTACAGACACACATACACACAGAAAGAGAAAGAGAATGAAAGAATATACACTCTAAGTGATTATCTCTCAGAGTTAGGATTAGGAAGGATTTGTATTAGTTGTCTTTTTTGGTGGGGAGCATTTTTTTTTTATCCAAGTTTTCTGCAGTAAGTTTATTTTGTATACATCTATCACACCACAAAAGTGGCTACCATACCATTTTGTAGCCTGACTTTTTACACTTAATAGTATATTGTAAACATTTCTCACTGTACAAAGTAGTGTTTCATTTTTATGAGCTTCATGGGACTTCTGCAAACAGAAGTCAAACTTGAATTGAGGTAACTTTTTCTGTTCCATAGTTTTAAAAAATATAATATAAAACTAAACATGAACATGTATATTACGAATTAATAAACAAATCTGAAGCAAAAAAAAGATATAAGTAGAGTAAGAAACTGCTATGCTTCAACAGAATATGTAATTATTCTGCTAGGCAAAATCTCAATCAAACAATTAGAGAAATTTATACATAACCACGTCTACTTTGCTAAGATATTAGAAATCATTCACAGCATAGAAGACTGAGAAAAAAGGGAATACTTCAGTATAGCTGCAGTGCTTGCAGCAGAGGGAGCTGTATGGGAAGCACAGTCTCAAGGAAATACCAAGCCAAAAGCCAAATACAGACAATCCAAAATTTATGTAAACAGGAAGGATATTAAGAGAAACTAACAAGAGTAAAGCTTCAAAACTGCTGGCAGGAAGCAGGGCCTGGAGCAATCCCTGAGCCAAAAGTTTAGGTATATATATACATGCATGCCTACAATTCACAAACCTCTCCTACACCCCAGAACCATCATTTGTAAACATAAATACTAAAAAACACATATATATAAAAAACAAAGTGGGGCCGGCTCCGTGGCCGAGTGGTTAAGTTCGCACGCTCCGCTGCGGTGGCCCAGGGTTCGGATCCTGGGCAGGGACATGGCACCGCTCATCAGGCCACCTTGAGGCGGCGGACCACATCCCACAACTGGAAGGACCTGCAACTAGGATATACAACTGTGTAGAGGAGGGGTTTGGGGAGATAAAGCAGAAAAGAAAAAAAAAAAGATTGGCAACAGTTGTCAGCCCAGATGCCAATCTTTAAAAAAAAAAACAAAAAAACCAAAGTAAAATCCCATGAGATTAATTCTTATCTACCATGAATAATCTCAAAAAGCTGTTCAAAGGTTAGTTGGGTGAAAAAAACATACTCGTTTAAGTTCCGCACATTCTGGGTTCAGCTCCCACCTCTGCCTCTTGACAGCTGTGTGACATTCATTAACTTAAATCATTTAAAGCCTAGTTTATAGATAACTTACAGGGCTGTGTGAAGTTTAGATGCGTTAATGTCTAAAAATAAAATTCTATCTGTTACCACATTATGCAAAATCATCACATTTAGAAAGCAATGTTTAAGATAATGTGAAACAAAATATAGGCTTCCTGGAATACCAGAAATTCACTTTGAGGGACCCTGGAGATACTGAAAATAGATGGCTAGATTTCCTTCAGAACAAAAAAAGCTGGGTTATTATAAGCAGCTCACGTGACTGCTAATTAGGAAAAATTACCATATTTATTTTAAGATTTCTTGGAAAGAAAAAAACTAAAGATATCACACAGGAGTCCCAAAATGAAAGTCATAGATTGGGCAATTTCTCAGGCAACTTTTTTGAATGCTTCAGGGGTTTTTTTTTTTTTAAAAAGTAGGCTTTTCTTTTCTTAACAATGGTTAATAATTTCCTCAAGCAATACAGAGGAGGTCAAAATAGGAGATGCTACCTAGTAAATGACGAAATTCTTTATAACCTATAGAAGTAAAAAATGGTAATGTGCCAGGTTGATTGAGATTTATAATAATCCAGCAGCTTTGAGTCAATAAACAATTTTGGATAAATAAATTAATAGACCTCGAAATCAAGACCTGATCCAAACGGATTTTTACAAAATTATTTAAAAATTTAACACAAGGTATAAAGTTGTTTACCAAGTTACTGGTCGTAACTTGGGTATGGTATATTAGATAACTGTGCAGGATTCTATCTGTGTAAGAATTACTCAGTGTTAACTAAATTTGAAAGAAACTTTGACAGCATCTATGAATTTATCTTGGATTCTGAGTTTTGTTAAAAACCAAACCACAGAGAAGTTGTTTGAGAAAGGGAAATAGTTCACTTAAAATTTTTCATCTTTTAATTAAAATTTGGTCTTTCAATTAGAAGCTAATGAGAATATAGTGATCTAAGAGAAAGGAAAAAATAACTTCAGCAGGAAAATTTAATGTATATTGATTTTCTTATTTACTGTAGGAAAACTAGTATTAAGAAGTCATTTTACCATATTGCACGAACAACTTTTTCTGGTTTTCTTTTTCTTTTTTCTCCCCCTAGGTCCTGAAAAGAAACTCAAAAACCAACTTCTGCAGTACAGTTAACCTGCCCAAGGGATATGTATTAGGCTGAATAACAATAACTTCCCATAGAACTGAACAGTTCCTTTTTACAGAGCTCTATTATTGTTATTTGGGACTGATGGACTGTCAGTCTTTCCTTTCAGAAACAGAAATGCTAATCAGGCCTTCAGTGTGATGGGACTGGGGACTCCCACTTCTATGCTCTGCTTAGGCCCATGTGCACAATGGTTTTGCTGAATCTTGTTTTTGTAGGTCCGTCTGGAGATGCGGCCTGAAGGAAACTCTGGCAATTGAGACAATATCGTTCTAACCCAGCTCCTTGTACTACACTGTTCACCAAACAGCTTTAGCATATAAAACTTGGATCAGTGAATCCTTCTTTACTTGCTGCTATTTCTGGGCAAAAGTCCAGTTTAAGGAGGCAAAGAGAACATACACACACTTCAGCTGGGGAAAAAAAAAGAAGTCATTTTAACCAATACATGAATTTTTCATGTATTCAATACATGAATTTTTAAAAATCAGAAAGTCAGTGACTGAAGCCTTAGAAAAAGAAGGAAATTCT